CCCCCTCCCCCCGCACCCACTCCACTCCACCCCCAGCCCCCACCCCCCACCCACCACCACCCCATGCCCAACCGCTGCATGCTCTCGGGCCAGATGATTGTGGTTGTGGTCCTCGTCTGTGTCTCGCTCGCCTCGGTCATCACCTACACCCTCACCTCGTCCTCGGCCGTCGGCTACCTGAGTCAGAGCAGCAGCCCGTTCCACAGCCCGTCGCTGCAGCAGAGACAAGGCGGCGGCGAGCTCGGTGGGGCGCTTGTGGCGGCAACAGAGGCGGCAGCAGCAGCAGCAGCATCAGCGAGACACTGTACCCCGCCGGCCTCCTCAGTGGCAGCGCCTCCGGCCTTTGACGCCCTTTATCCGCCGGTCAACGTGTCGGCAGTGACGAGCGTGGTGGCCGATTTGGCCCGATGGGCGTCGTCACTGGCCAAGCCCGACTGGCGGACTGATGACGTCCTCATTGTCCTTCCCGACCCGAGTGAGCCGACCGACTGGTCGATTGTCGACTCGTTGCCGGTCCCGTCTGGGCGTCCGCCGTTTGCCTCACTCGCCGAGTTTGACGAGTGGAAGATGAAGGCGTCCGGGAGCGTGACCGAGGACATGCTCACGCCGCTGCCGACGGTCCGCTCGCAGTGGGGCCGCCAGCTCGGCAATGAGTACATGGGCAATACCAAGATGGGCATGGCCTCGTTCGTGGTCGACGGCATCACCATCATCATCAAGCGCAGCGACCGGCCTCAGCCTGTTCTCCACACCGACAAGATCGAGCCCATCATGCGGCTTGTCAACGAGTGTGGCTTCCACAAGATTGTTGCCCAGCACTGGGTCGACAAGTGGCAGGGCGTACCGACCATGTTTGCCGTCGTCTCGCCGGGCGTCACTGTTGAGCTCGGCCGCGGCCGGCCGGCCAAAGTCTACCCGCCACACACTCGCACCATGTTTGCGAACATCCCCTCATGGCAGGTCCGCCTCATGGCTCTCTATGACATGCTCTTCAGCTATACCGACCGCCACTACGGCAACATCCTTGTCGACGAACAGTTCAACATCTATTCCATCGACGCGTTCCAGAACACCCTCGGCGACAACCCGCTCGCCGTCAACTCGATCCTCCTCCCGTTCACCTCCAAGTACGGCATCCACCGCCTCTCCTTTGAGTTTCTCTTCAAGAACATGCCCATGCCGACCTACGACGACCCGACCGTCACCCTCGACTACCGCTGCCACACTCCGGGCGGCCGTATTGGTGTCGTCTTTCCTCCGCCTCTCCGCTCGTGCATGGCCGACCTCGCGTCGGCCGATCCGCCCGACCTCGTCGCTCGCTACGGCTTTCCCAAGCTCGCCGCCGCTGAGACACTTGTTGACAACGCGCGCTCGCTCCTCATCCACGGATTTGAGGCTACGGCTTTTGCTGCTGCCAACCGCTCGCTCCACTCGAACCCCAAAGAGGCTTTGCAGCCGTGGCTCTCGCCGTCGCAACCGTGCTGCCTTCTCATCGGCAACGTGTGCCAGGCAGTCGACTCGCGGCCCCCGGCGAGTGGTCGACGGTTGGCCGACGCTGAGCGCCGCCACAACCGCAGTTGTCACTTGCACGCTGCCTTGTTTACGGCCCGGCGTCGTCGACCCACTGCTGGCCAATCCAGTAGTCGCCGTCAAAGACGTCGAGGAAGGCGTCGACAACGGCGGCGTCGGTGATGCCGAGCGTAAAGTCGCGGTTGGCCTGAATCCACGTTCCGTGGCTCGAGTTGTACGGCACGAGCGTCTCGCCCGAGTACTGTGGCCAGTCGGACGGTGACCAGTTGCCCGACGACATCCACGCCGTGGTATTGTCAACGACCCAGTACTTTTGGTGCGAGAACGAGTACAGATGCCGGCGGGTGGTCTGCACTCGGGCCCCGCGCTTGGTGAGGAAGCGGTAGCACCCGCGCGCAAGCTCGTAGTCGTCGTACGCAAAGATGGCGTCAGAGACAAGCAGATACAGCTCGGTCTCGTCGCGCTCGACAAAGTCGCCAAGCCACTCGCACAGGTCGTAGTCGGTCACCTGGTAGATGTAGAGCACAAAGGTGTTGCGAGCGGCATCCAGTGCGGCCTTGAGCGTCTCGTACGTGTAGTCGGGCGACATGACAAGCTCGACGCGCGCCTCGTCGAGCGCCACTGTCTTAGTTGTCGCCACATACGAGCCGGGGAACGGCTCGGGCGGCGGGACAACGACTCGAAGCGCCGCTTTGGACCGGATGACCGCCAGCTCAGCCGGCGTGTACTCGTGGGCCGGCGAGAACTGAAGTGCGACATCCCAGTCGGCGTCAAATACATCGGCGGCAACATCAAGCACCTCGCGAACGCCCTCGCCCGAGAGCCGGATCCCGGCCTCGCGGTTCTTGCGGAACGAGGTCTCGGAAAAGTTGATTGAGGAGAACGCGGTTGCGGCGTCGGGTGTCCGGGCATCGACCGAGATGTACTTTGCATGCCAGAACGTAGTCGATGTGTAGTAACGGATCTCTGCGCCAGCGAGGTAGAGGAAGGTCAGCGGGTCGATGCGACCTGCGGCCGGCGGCGTGGCGCCAAAGTCGTTGGTGAGGATGCGGACCGACTTGCCAGCCGAGAGCGCGTTGACGAGTGCCGCAAAGATGGGGAACGTCTCGTTCATCCGTTGCTCCTCCACCGTGCATCCGCCGCCATATGTGCATCCAATCCACGAGGAGAAGCCCGGCGTGCCGACGTCAATGCTCTTGTCCGCGCTCTCCACCAGCTCGGTGAGGAACGAGGTCGAGTTGTCCGGCGAGAAGAAGACGGCGGCCTCGCCCGAGCCACGCTCCACAACTGCCGGCCGGAACTGAACATGGTACGACTTCTCCTGATGGTCCCACGCAGGGTCACTACTCTGCTTCATGCTCATTGCCATTGCCACGGCCGTGGCAAGGACCACAGCCGTCGCCAGCCAGCCTGCACGCTTCATATTTGCGAGTCACGTGTTAACAAGAGTATGCAAATGGTGGTGAATGGCGGCGAATGGCGACGAATGGCGAGCGCGGGCGGTTGCAAGGAATGGTGTTTGTTTATTGCTGCATCAATCGACGGCGCAGGAGGAGATACAGTGTGTGTGTGTGTGTGTATACATATCTGTGTGTCTGTGGCTAGTGCCTCAGACTGATCAATGGCGGGGTGCGTGAGTGGTGTGACGCAGTGTGTGGTTTGCGGTTGGTGACATCAATGAGCGCGGCTCATGCTGTGGTGTGTGGTGAGTGCGGATCTGGTGGTGGTGTGTTGGCAGTTTGCCAATCGTTTGTGGAGCGGGATTTTATACATCCAGGATCTCAACGCACCGTTGCCACTGCCTATCCCACGGCGGTGGCACTATGTTCTCAGTCCAGCCCCTGGTGCTGCGCGGGAGAACAGACGCGGGAGGGGGCTACCTAGACTTCCTTCGCGCGGTGCTGCGGCGCCAAGTGTGGGGGGGCTCCGTTTGCAGAAATGGCCGCACTCAGCCCAGGTTTGACCCAATCCGTTCGTATGTGGATCCACCGTGAGTAGGTCGCACTTCACGACATGGTATTGTTCCGTAATGGGCCAATTTAGAACACCCCAACCCCAGCCACGCTATTTTCTATGCCAATCAGCACAATGAAGCCTTCAAACGAACACCCCGACGCTGGCTACCATCGTGGCAGTCACTTGACTTGCCACATAACACCATGCACCTAGTCACCCTCCTTTGCCTGATATTTGCATGTGTTGTGGCAGTCGACACGACGGTCATTCGCTCCGCACTGGCTGTTGTTGACCAGACCATGCATCCTACCGGCGACAATGTGGTCGACCTTGCCACCGACTCGCTCTTCGTTCCAACCGTCTTGGTGGGAAACCTCGCCTCGTCCACCGGGCTCGTCCACATCATCCCCACAAGCCGCCTCATTATCCCAGGCCTCGTTCTCGCTTCGCCGGCCAATGTTTCCGGTGCAGACCTTGAGCTCTGCATCGTCCCACCCGCATCCGTGGCGCATCTTGGCGAAGTTCCGAGCGGGCCAAGGCCATCGTGTCGCCATCGTGACCAGATGGCCTGTCAAACGCTTTTTTGGACCCGGTCTCGAGAACCACCGTGACAGGTCTCGACTCCATGCTGTCCAGCCTCGCCTCCTTGCTTGTCACATCCCATCCACCGCCCATCGCACTCTGTCTCAGGAGTGAAATGAGTGGTGTAACCTTTGAGGCCCCATCTCCTTCTCCAACTGTACTCATCGACTACTATGAGGTCTGCCCACAGCTGCTGGTCAAGAACGCGCACGTTGCCAACTCGCCACTGACGGGAACGACCGCCGCGCCGGTCGATGCTACGCTCATCGTCACATGCGAGTCGGGCCGCATCCTCTCAACGTCCCATGCCGCCAGTGGAACCGTCACCTGCCAGATATCAGGGGCATACTCGCCCACGGTCGTGTGTATCGATGCGGCTGCACTACCCTCGACGGATCCCTGCCCGCCGCGCTCGTTCCGCGACACCTGCGGAGTCTGCTCCGGGCTGGGCACGGGCCACGTTGCCAACGCCGATCTTGACGCATGCGGTGTGTGTTTTGGCGAAAATGCCGCGCTGGACGATTGTGGCGTGTGCTTTGGCAACAACGCCGCGATGGACGAGTGCGGCGTGTGCTTTGGCGACGGGTCGCAGTGCGCCGGCTGCGACGGGGTGCCCAACTCGGGTGCACGTCCGGATGTTTGCGGACAATGCATGGGCAATGGGTCGTCATGCTTGGGATGTGATGGCATTGTCATCCCATCCGGGGGCGCCACCTTTGACAGCTGTGGCGTATGTGGTGGTTCCGCAGGCAGCACTGACTGCGCGACGCCGTGCGATGGTGACGCTGCCATCTACGACTGCGCAGGCACATGCGGAGGCGATGCCGTCATGAACGCATGTGGCGCATGTGTTGGCGGTGTCACTGGTCGCCCCGTTGACTATGGCCGCGACGACTGCGGCGTCTGTTGGGGCGGAAACCTCGCGAAGGACCGATGCGGCGTGTGTTGGGGCCGGGACACAGGCATCGATGCATGTGGCCAGTGTCACGGCGGTGGAGCCGGGCGCGATGCATGCGGCGTGTGCCACGGCGGTAACGCCACAATGGATGCGTGCGGGGTATGCGGTGGCGATGGTCTCTCGTGTATCGGCTGTGACCTTGTCCACTTTTCCGGCAAGGAAGTCGACGAGTGCGGCGTGTGCGACGGCGAGTCCGAATGCTCCGTTGCTTCGATGGTGGCTACCACATCGCACTCACGCAAACGTACCCTCCGCATTGTTGCTGTAGCAATTGGCAGCACCATGCTCTTGGCAATGGTCATAGTCATCGGCATCGCCGCATGCCTGCCTTCCATCAAGAGGCGCGGCCGGTCGTCCCGTGTTGACGTTGCAAGCCCGCACACGCTCGCAGATGCCGAGGCCGTCACATCAAGCCAGTCTGCTACATCATCAAGGCACGTCACAGAAGTCGTCGTTGGGAAAGAGACTACTATCGGGCTAGCTGTCGTCATGGTGGCCACGGTTGCCGACGATGAGCAAATGCGGGTGTCTCATTCCGCCGCAATGCGCGATGCCACCATACTCCACAACGTCGCTTTTCGCCATGTCCTGGCACAAACATCTGGGTGCGAGCTTGCTGCTGCGCAAACTACCTTTACCGCTGTATTTCCTCACAACGCCGTCGACGAGGCCATCGCCACCGCCGACAAGCTTCACACGACCATGCTCAAAGTTCCTTGGCCGCGGGAGATCAGCCACTTTGTCGGCCGCAGCAACGACTCGCTTGCTGTGGACTTTCCAGGTAGGTCAACCTTGGGCGCATCAGATCAGAGCACATCGCTTCCTCACGACGCGGCCCCAGCTCTTTGGAATGGCTTTCGACTGTGCATCGGGCTGCACATCGGGCACATCGACGCCATGCCCACTGCATACGACGGCGATCCCTCCTTCCCGGGCCCTGCCGCCGAATCTACTGCGACCATCGCCGCCCTTGCGCCACCAGGCACCACTGCTGCCTCGGAGTGCCTCTTGGCAGCTTCTACGTCCCACGACATCGTGGCAGTGCGCATCGCCAATGTCGATGACATAGAGAGGGCCTCATCGTCTACCTCGGTCTACAGTGTCGGCCACTGCGACTCACTCGCCGTCAACCGGCTTGTTGCAGCCGGTCTTGTGCCCCCATCTCCATCACCTGGCCGCTTGATCTTGTCGGCAGATCTGGAGTCACAGTTGTCGACCCCGAATGAGTTGTCGGAAACGACCACCATGTCGTTTGGCCCAATGGTCCCTACTGGGCCATCTGGGTCTCCGATGGCCGCACAGAAAATGCGCATCCCTTAACTCACCTGCGTGGGTTGCATGGCATCTCTCCTCTTGCTGGGCCTGGTACACAGTTCGCGCTGCATGCGTACCGCTCCATCGGCGAGCGTGGCACAATTGCATGCATCTTTCCATCCGGCCATTTTGATCGCAACGCCACGCTCACCGCTGCCCGCCGCCGCACAGCAATCCTGCCCCCTTACTTCCGATTCCCGCTACGGGCTCCGATGGCGTCGACAGAGTCGGCTCTTGAAGAGTGCTGGCCCAACGGCCTGACCCTCTGTGCCACCACATCTTGCCGATTGGCTCGGTGACTCGCGCGCACATGGGCAATCGTCACAAGCTCGCGTTCGAAAAATTAAAGCAAGACTTGGGCGGCCAGAAGATGCCTGTCGTCGTTGTCGAACATCGTCATCAACTGGTGGGTGGTGGGTTCACAGAGCGATCGCTCGGCCAGCAACCGAAGCTGGTGTTGCATTTGTTCGTTGGCTCGCGAGTGCGGATGCGGATGCGGCCCGACACTGACTCAACTCAGACACCCGCCGCTCAGGCACGCCACCCGCCCCGGGCCAACCGCATCAGACAACAACTCCACTGCAGATGGTGGTATCAATACCAACCGCCCTACTCACGCTATGGCTGCTCGTGCTGGTCCCTGCCGCGAGTCCAGCCACTCTCCGCGTCGCCGTCGCCACCTTGCCATCGGCCGACTTCGCCGCCGCCTGGACAGCTTCCCCACCCACACTTGTTCCTCGCGCATCGGAAGCCACCCTCACCAGCAATGCCTCGCTAATCCTCAACATCCGCTTTCCCCTCGCCATCCACTCGACAACAGGCCACATTGCTGCTGCTGCGTCTTCGTCGATCGTCTTGAACGGCATCGCCTTTCATGCCCCTCCTCCATGGCTGCTATCGCTCGTTCCGCTTCCGCTCCCCGCGCATCCGTCACTCTCGCTCCATCACTCGCAATGGCTTGCGCTGGCGACAGCTTCGCCAGCAAATGCCCCTTTTGCGCAAATGTTGGTCTCGGTTGCCAACAACACGCACGTAGCTGGTCAGCTCTCCGGCGAGGCGCTCGCTCACTGGATCGACGCCGCCTGGTCGACTGGCGTTCTTGGCGGAGAGTACCTGCCGATCCGCCTCAGCCTCCCAGACAACGCCACTGCAGACGACTATGCCATCGTCGACCTCTCCACTGGCGCATTGCTCATGATCCACTACTACGAAGTCTGCGAGCCCTTGTTCCTACCCAACGGCTTGCCACTCGCGTCTCCCGTCCCGGTCGGTGACGATGTGGCACTCGTATGCAACAATGGCTACGAGCTTGTCGGTGCCGGTAGTGACGGATTAGTGACGTGCACCGCCGACGGGACGTACCAGCCGCAAACGCCAGCATGTCGTCCTGTGCCTGATCCCCCTGACGCCGGGCCATGTCCTGGCCTGGCGATCCGTGACACCTGCGGCGTCTGCTCCGGTCCGGGCACCGCTCACATCGCCGACTCGGATCTCGACGCGTGCGGTGTGTGCTTTGGTGCTAATGCCGCGCTCGATGACTGTGGCGTGTGCTTTGGCAACAACGCTGCCAAGGACGCATGTGGTGTGTGCTTCGGCGACGGATCGCGATGTGCCGGCTGCGACGGGGTGCCACACTCGGGATTGCTCCCGGACGTGTGCGGGCTATGCGGTGGCGATGGGACGTCATGCCTTGGATGCAATGGCATCCCCATTCCATCTGGCGATGCTGTCTTTGACGGCTGTGGCGTGTGCGGTGGCCCAGGGACTGTCGGCTCTTGCGGCGCGACGTGCAACGCGTCGGCACCTCTCCACGTCAGCTACGACTGCGCAGGGGTCTGCGGTGGCTCGGCGTACATCGACTCGTGCGGCGCATGCGTGGGTGGGATTACTGGAAAACGTCCCGAGTACGCACGCGATGGCTGTGGTGTGTGCTGGGGCGGCAACTCGAGTCGCGATGCGTGCGGAGTATGTGGCGGTGGCGGCACGGACATCGACGACTGCGGCGTGTGCTTTGGCAACAACAGTGAGAAAGACGAGTGCGGCCGATGTTGGGGAAACAATGCGTTTCATGATCTGTGCGGCGTGTGCAACGGGAGCGCAACCACCTGCGCCGGCTGCGACTTTGTCATTGGCTCCAAGCTCCGCATCGACGACTGTGGTGTGTGCGGTGGGCAGGGTGATTGCCACTCTACCCGCATTCTCGGCATGCCCTCGATGGCGGTGGCGTTGACTACAGCTGTGATGCTCTTCTGTGTTTTGGCAATCATCGGCCTTGGCACCGCAGTCTTGCTTCTGGCGCGTCGGCGGCGTCGGGCAAAGGTAGCCGCAACGGCGGCGATCCGAAAAGCAGCCCTGGCCGAGGCTCCACACGGCGAGCTGATCTTGATGGTCACCCACGTTGTGTCTGCCTCGGATATCTGGGCCGCCATGCCGGCTGCCATGTACGAGGCCATGCTCCAGCACGACATCTGTCTCCGGCAGGTCATCTCCGAGTATGACGGGTACGAGATTGCGTCTGAGCATGACTCGTTTGTCGTCGCCTTTCCGGCATCCGAAGCCATTTCAGCCGTCCACGCCGCCATCGCCATCCACGATCGCATGGTCACCCTCGCATGGCCACGGGTTCTTCTCACCTCCGACCTCTGTCCAACCGTTGTGGCCCACACAGGCCTCAACGTCTCCCACGATGGCAGTTTATGCCACACCTGGCGCGGTCTTCGGCTCCGTATCGGCATCCACGCCTGCCTCCTCACTCGATCGTACTCGCCGGCGAGCCAGGGCATTGAGTACGCCGGTCCCGGTCTCGCACACACATCTGTCATCTCCCAGGCCGCGCCCGATGGCGCTGTCGTGGTCACCCGCGAGGTCCTCGCCTGCCTTCCGTCGACACTGCCGGCGCATCTCTCAATCGAGTGCGTCGACCGCGTCGTCTCGGCCAACGGCGACGTCTCCTTTGACATCTTTGCCGTTTCCGCCCAGGGCTCTGTCACTACGGCCCGCAAAACGACTGGCCCAGTCGCATCGAGTCATGCTCTTGCTCATAGCGAGAGTGGACAAGTAGGCGGGGTCTCGTCAGCGACGCCTGTCCATGTCTCGACCACGAGCCGGTCTAGACACCTTGTCCTGAACACCCGGCTCACCAGCACGAGTCAGAAGCAGAGCGCAGGCTCGGCCCCGCACGAAGCCTCGTCGACGTCGTTCCGCTCGGCATCGTCGGACGATACCGAGACCACTGTTCGCTCGCGATCGCGTCGGTCCTTAACTCCAGCCATGAGCAATCGGAGCCAACGCTCGACCCAGGCTCGCAAAGTCCGAAATGTAAGACCGAAGCGCTTGCCCCGATCGTCTTCGGCAGCTGGCTCGCTTGAGATGCATGTCACGGGGCCCTGCAAGGCACCTGGTGCTGGCTCTATCGAAATGCCATCTCCCAACGCCATGATCAACGAGCTACTAGCCGCAACGTTGGCCAACATGGCGCCCGAGTCCAGCAAGCATACCGCGCCGAAAGGCCCAAGAACGATTCTAAGTCGACGGAACGGGCATCCCTCTACGTCACAATCGCCGTCGCGGTCGCAGTCGCGGTCGCAGTCGCGGTCGCTGTCGGTCTCACTGGCGTCACGCGCATTAGAACAGCCGGCCTGGGTCAATTCTCGCCGACGCATCCGGTCGCTTTCGGTTTCCGAGACGCCACAGACACCTCACACACGCATGCTCTCGGCCTCGTGCAACGGCACATCCATCATCGTCGAAGACGCTCACGCGACAGCCTCCCAAGCCCGTGCCGGAGCAGCGCCTGTGGCCTTGGACGGCGACGCGAACCGGGCACGGTAGTGGCGGACATGATCGGCAAAGGGAATCCACGCTGCGCCGACTCGGAGCAGCGCCTTGTCGTTGATGACGCGGACATGATGAGCCTCGCCAAAGACAACATACTGGCCAGCACCACGCTTGAGCACATCAAGCGGGGGGCCGACGTCAGCCATGGCGCGATAAACCGCAACGTCAATCGGATTGCTCGCGCTGTATCCCCGGAACGGCAGGCCCGGCGGGAGCGGGTGGACCTTGCGCGGCCGGATCTCGCTTTGTTTGGCCGCTTCGGGCCTCGCCGCGGCCTGGCCCACAGTATAGTCTGCTGCAGGATCGGCCTCGGCCTCGCGCGGAATCTCGAGCTCTGATCTGGTGCTGGACGAGGCCACGTCCGGACTTGAGCTCGGGTCGGTACCCAAGGGCAGATCGGAGCTCGACGACGAAGCCGTGGCGTTCTCGCCATCACTGGCGCGAGCAGCAAGCCGGTGTGCCTCGGAGCGCGAGATACGAATTTTCTTGCGCATCCGCCGCCGCTTTCGCTTGCCGCCCCTGCTCCCTGCCTCGCCGGTGTCTCCTGCAATCAGCTGCGCAGGTTGAGGATCAGGAAAGGTGCTGGCAGCTTCTGCGACAGCACACGAGTCCAGGGACGATGACGACGGGTCTGCATGTGGGAGCGGGGTAGGAGGCTTCTCGGGCTGGAGGTGGATGCGTGAGATGTCCGGCTCGGATCGGGAGTGCGACCGTGACCGAGACCGAGACCGAGACCGAGAGTGTGACGATGAGCGAGAGCGCGAAGATCGCGATGAGCGAGTTGATCGCGAGTGCGACCGCGACGACGACGACCTGTGTTGTGCGCGCCATCGCCTTCTTGCCGCAGCATACCGCTCCTCCCTGGACAGCGGGCGCTCGTCCAGAACAGACATCGGCGTCAAGGCGCCTGGTCTAGGCCGATCTTGATTCGCGTCAGCACCAGTCTCCGAGTGAGGTGAGCTGCCGTTGGCGGGGGCAAGGCGGTGCTGATGCGGATGCCGATGATGATGCTCACTGCCACCAGGATCGCTGGCATGCGCTTGATGATGATCAACATCATGCGGACTGCGATCATGGGTAGGCAGGCCATAACAACCATGGCCTCTTGCATCAGCACCCGTGCTAGCATTGACAGCATCACTTCCATGGGCATGTCGGTGCTTCTGCCGCATACGCAAACGGGCAAGGGTCGAGCCGGCGCGGACGGACCAGTTGTGCTGGTGGCGCGAGCTGGCAAAGAAGCAATGGATGAGGGCTGTGACAAGCAGTGTCAGCGCCACCAGTCCACATCCCAGGAGTATCAGTTCTGTCGTGTCCGTCATGGAGGCCTCGCCACCGAGAGGAGTGACAAGCTGGTACGTGAGGCCGCTGCTGCGAGTGGCGGGTGAGGGAGCGAGAGGTGCGGGAACGGACAACGGGCAAATTGGTGACTCCACGCCAACATGTTGTGTGACCGCATCGTCAGCACAGCGTCATTGTGGGGTGGGGATGAGTAAAGAGAGGTGATGGATGGACAAAGTACTCTGTTGTGATGCTCGCTACGCGGTGGCGGTGGCGGTGGCTGTTCTCCGGCAGATACTGCGTGGCCGTACACAGCGTGACAGGGAGGCCGACCTGCCGATCGCTGTGTCAGCCACAGCCAGCCGACCCACTGTCGTGGCATCGCCTCGTTGCCCACATGTGCTGCGATCGAATGTCAATGCGGGTGATGCGGTCGTGCGCGCGGCTGCGAGTCAGAGAGACAGGGGCGGTGGGCACTGCCACCCCACGCAACTACCATACACCACATGTCGGGCCAAGGGACAGCCATGCTTGCGGTGGCACAGGCGGTGCCATGGGAGACTGCGCTGATGACAACGGCTGTCTGTGGAGCGCTGTTGGTTCTCGGCGAGCGCGTCGACTCGCAGCTTGCCAGGTGGGCTTTCAAGCCGGTCGCCTCGCTTGGCTTTATCGCTGCCGCACTCGCTGCCCACACCTCTGTCTTTGGTGCATATCATGATTTATGGGATGTGTTCGAGGCTGATGATCCTGCTTCGGCCATTGTCATTGGTCTGCTTCTCTCCTGGTGGGGCGATGTCTTGCTCATTCCCTCCTCAGAGATTGTCTTCAAGTCGGGCATCCTCGCCTTTCTCCTCGGCCACCTCGCCTACTCGGTCGCTTTTCTTCGCATGGGTGTTGATGCCCGTGGCTGCGGCTTTGCCGTCCTGCCTGTCATTCCCTTTGCTTACATCGTTCTTTGCTGGTTGATGCCTGATGTACCGTCAGACATGGTTGCCCCGGTCATCGCCTACATCCTGGTCATCTGCTCCATGGTCGTCCTCTCGGTCGGCGCCTACGCTGCTGGTGCCGACGAGCTCTTCCCCATCGGTGCCATCGCATTTCTTTTCTCGGACCTCTTTGTCGCCCGCGAGCGCTTTGTCGCCCCAGGCTTTGTCAATCGTGCCATCGGCCTCCCGCTCTACTACGGCTCGCAGCTCATCCTAGCCGCCGCCATCTACCGCCTTGTCTAACAACTTGCCCAAAGCTCGATCCAGCACAGCCCGGCCCTACCCGGCCCAACTCGCCCCAGCACAGCACGATGTAGTCCACCCCCCTCCCTCCATCCCCCGTCCCCCTTTCCCCTCCCTTTCCCCTCCTCCCGATCAATCCCCCATCGCAAATGGTCATCCTTGTCGCCAAACCAGCGGCAAAGGCCAACCAAGTGCGACTCGGACGACGACCAACCACCGCCACGACAGCACTTGACCCACCCCACCCCACCCCACCCCACCCCTACCCATGGCCACCTTTGCACGAGACGGGACCGAGTACCCCATAGTCCTCGGCGAGACGTTCACCAAAGGCACCGACAAGGCGTCGGTCATCAAGTGTATGCCCCCTCCGCCCCTTCCCACCAGGACAGCGTGGCGCAGTAGACTCACTCCCTCCCCTCCCCACGCTTCCATACTCATGATGAATGGCTGTGATGACAGATGGTTTTGTTCCGCAATCGCTCGATCGCACGCGTCCGGCAGAATTGAGTGTGGATGGCAAGGCGGCTCGTCTAGTGGCGAAGAAGAAGGACTCGGAGGAGGAGGAGTACTCGTTTGTCGGGCCTGTCACCTCGTCGACATCGGCGGCAGACGTCGTCTTTTGGTTTGATGCAGACAATGAGAGATTCGTGGCCGAGCTCGTCGGCTCGTACATGCCCATGAAGCTCAAATCGTAATTGGCCTGCCATCCCCTCTCTCGTCATGCGTGTGGCGGTGCCCATCAGCCGCCCGCGAGCTTATCGCGGCTGGATCAACGCCGCCGAGGCGTAGTGCGGCGATTGGCTCCTCGTGGACTCGGCCCTATGATGGCATCGAGGCGGGCAGCAAGCGGGGCGGTCTCAGCGGCATAGTTGCGCGGACGGGAGTCAAGGGCACGGACCTGCTCCTGTGCAAACGCGAGGAGTGACGACGAGCCACGCCGCGTCGATGACGGCGACGGCATCCCCGACGTGCCGAGCGAGATGGAGCGGCTGCTGCTAGAGACTCCTCCCGCAGACGCCGAGGTGAGCGGGCGCGAGCTGGTCGACCGCGGTGTCGACGCCGCCGACGACGAGCCTGGCGACGGTGAGGCGCGGTGGACGGCGAGCGATGCCCGCCGGTCGGTAATGTCTAGCGAGACCATCGACCGCGAGCCGCCGAGCGACCGTCGCCGCGGCTCGCTATGCAGCGAGCGGCTCGAGATAAGCGAGTCTGTCGAGTCGCGCCTCGCCAACGGGCGCGGCTGGACACTTGCGGCGCGAGCTGTCGAGCGCGACCGCGACCGCGACGATGATCTGGACCGCGACCTCGAGTGCGACGAGTGATAGCCCGAGGCCGAGGCATGGCCATCGCTGGTCTCGCCGTCGGCGCCATAGTACGAGCGCGACTTGACGTTGATCGTCGCATCCGATGGTGGGAGCACCAAACACGCAAACTGAGCTGGCGACATGACAGCGGTAGATGATGATCTGGGCATGGCTCGGCCCGAACCACCCCTCGCTCTTGCTCCCGGGCGAGGTGAGAGGAGAGCAGCGACCGAGTCGGCCACCCGAGTCTCTGTGATGGAATCCAGCGATTCCGGCGGAGGTGATGGTGATCTCCTTGCTGAGAGAGATCTTGCCGCCGACGGCGACCGTGATCTCGAGCGAAGGCTCAATCGGCCTACGCCAAACGATGTATCTCCCCACTCCATCCTGATGCGCTCGCGGTAGCCAACGAGCCAACCGAGCAGCTGACCAAGTAACCGACCGAATCACCAACCAAGCAACCAGCCGACCGACACGAGCCAGCGATCCGGGTCGACGAGGTAGCCCACCCACCGCTCAACCGATCTGGTGATCGATACAAAGGAGTTAAAGATAGACGGGGAGGGGGATAGCCCTCACGAGAGAAAGAAGGAGGGGCGAGAGAGAGAGAGATAGATAGAGAAAGAGGGAGGGAGAGCTCGCGTTTGTGCGCAAGTCGTCTGAGAAACCGACAAAGACTTGCGGGTGAGCGAGCGGGTGGGGTGGGCGGGCCGGGCCGGCGGGCGGGCCGACGCAGACCGAGACCAAACCAACAACCGACAAACAGGTTCGGCCACACACACACGCCAACGCAGCCACAGACGCAGACGCAGACGCAGACGCAGACGCAGACGCAGACGCAGACGCAGACGCAGACGCAGCTACTCCGAGTGAGAACGAGGCGGGAAGGGGGGGGGAGGGAACTTTGGGGGAGGGGAGGGGGGGGGAGGGGGGAGGGGAGGGGGGGAGGTGGGGTGCTCGCTCACCCGTTTGCCTGCCTCGGCCCGTGGCAGGTGACCGACGGCCGCCGATGACTGGTGGCTGGCGGATCACGCCGCTCGGGTAAGCCATTCATGCCATTTTACCGCATGTGCTCGGGGAGATAGACGTCGAGTGCCTTGTTGACCGTCTCGTACGCCCAAAAGGCAATGGCTGATCCGAGCGGCGACTTGATGAGGTTGGCCTTGAGGCCGGAGAAGAGCGAGAGAACGCCGCGCCGTTTGCTGACCTTGACCAGGACGTCGGTAAGGCCTGTGTATTGCACGGGGCGGCCGCCGGTGCCCTGCATCTGGAGCTTACGGCGGGCAAGCTCGAGCGGAAAGGCGGCAGTGGTCGAGGCGATGCCTGCCACAGCGCCGATGCCGAGGCCAACCATGGGCCCGGCCTTGGACGCTTCGTCCGTCGCCACGTGCTCGTTGTAGGCGGCCTTGAGCGTGTCAAAGGTCCAGAACGAGGTGGCATAGTAGACCGTCGCCCACACGTTGGCCGGGCCGATGCCCTTGTATAGCGCCGCCACGCCTCGGCCCGCCCGATCTTGGTGAGCGCGTCAAACATGCCGTTGTAGAGGCCCGGCGTGGTGGTGATGCGACCGCGGGCCAAGTCCAGCGGGTAGATGGCCGACATGCATGTCGCGCCTGCCGCCATCGACGCGAGCGCGAGCTGCAGCGAGTTGGGTGACGAGCCGCCAAAGAGCTCCTTAAAAAAGTCCTTGGCCACAAAGGCGACTGCGCCTTGCGGCACAATGCGGATCATGTTCACCGTGTTGCCGCGCCAGTAGCCGGCAAGACCCTCGGCTCGGTAGATGGAGCGGAAGCAGTCCCACGTGCCCTTGTACTTTGTCGAGTCGACAATCATCTGCATCCGCAGCCGCTCCAGCGGCGCCACACAGAACCGTGAGAAGCCGAGCGCAAAGCCACCGTTGATCGCCGTGTACGCCTTGTTGCGCGACGCCGGGCCGGTCGCCGCGGCGCTCCGCCCGGAGCCCATCCCGGCAAACTCCTCGTGCGAGACCGTGAGCCACTGATCGGCGAGTGGCGTAAAGTCGAGGAAGCGGCCCGTCGGCGAGACAAGGACCATAAAGTCGCGAAACTCGTGCCACTCGATCTTGCCGTTGGGTGGGACCTTGGCGCCGACGCCCGACGGCTTGTCGATCTTGGCAATCATGGCCCGCACATCGTCCTCGGTCGGCTCGAGCCGGAGCACCTTGAGCGCCGCCCGCAGCTCATGCCGGTTGATCGAGCCCGAGCCCGACGCGTCCATGTCCTCAAACAAGTGCCTCATGTATCTCAGCCGGGCCATGGCATACGCCACAAACTCGTCCTCGGTCAGATACGCTCCAGCCTTTGGTCTCGCCGCGCGAAACACGTCATCCGCCCGATGTTCCGGAAGTCCCCATTCCTCAAGCTTCCGCCTCAGATCGCTGTTGCTCACTCGCCCCTCGCTTCCGGCGAGCTCTGCAAAGAGCGCTCGGACGCCAGTCTCATCGCCTGCCGTGCACTTTGTGCACGGATGCCCGCTCTGTCCGCAGAGCCAGCACGCATGCGGGCAGCTGACTGCCTTGTGCCTCTCTCCGCAGTTGTAGCAGCTCAGGGGCATGTCTCTTATGCCAGTGTCAGAGGAGTGTCCCACCGGCTTCCCGTCTCGTCGCCCTCTCCTCGCAGCCAATCGAGTTGGCCTCGGCTGGCCACGGCGGGTGCGGCGAGCGACCCACCGTGACGTCACCCCTGCCTCACAACTACAATATTTTGGTCGTCGTCACCTCCCACCCCCCACCCCCCCCCCCCCTTACTCCCCAATCAGCTGCCGGGTCACGGTCCATGTTTCTCGGCATGACGCGCGCGAGCGTAGACGGTGGCGCGCGAAGCAAAGACAATGTAGCAGGCGAGAGCGCCGAGATGAGCCAAGGCGCAGATCCAAAAGACGGTGGTGACTGGCATGTGCTTGACCTTGATGAGCACGATGAGGACAAAGGCGTTGAGCGGAATGCGGAAGAGGTTCATCATGGTCGACCGGGTTGCTTCTGGAATGTGCGCCGAGCGCAGCGTACCATACGTGGGAAAGAACATGCCGCACGCCACCTCAAAGCCACAAAACGCGAGGTAGACCAGCGGCTTGGCGTCAAAGAATGCAGGGACGGAGAGCATGCTCCCAATGGCGGCGCCATGCAGGAGAAGCGGGAGCGGGAGCGTCGATGCGTCAACCACGTTGAACAGCGCCGAGCCAATCATGATGCACACCATGTAAACGGCAAAGATGACCCCGTACGGCAGAACGTCGCGGGTCTCTTCGGTGGCCAGCGCCGGCGACCACATGAACACAAAGGTGTACATGCCGCCCTCAAAGAGGGCCTGGGCGAGGCCGAGACACACCAGATGTGGCGCGGCAGCGAGGACGCCCACCGCCCGCCGCAGCGACTCGCTCACCTCGATGGTAGCGTCGCCGTAGTTCTCGTTCCACGTCCGGCTCACAATGCCGGCAAGCACCGCCAGCGGAACGAGCGCGAGCACAAACGGCGCCACGTAGCCAAAGGTCGATGCGGCCGCCATTGCCACCAGTCCGGCGGCGACCGCCACAAGCCCATTGCCTGTGGTGGCTCGCGAAAAGGTCTGGCTCAGCAGTGCCGGAGGATATCCGCGCGCGTTGTGCTCGCACACCATCCAAGCCTCAAAGACCGAGAACAGCAGCGATGTGGCCACGCCCGACAGGATGCGGCCGATCATAAGAACCGAGAACGACGCCGAGACCTTGGTCAGACCGGCGACTGCGTAGCACGCTGCAAACACCAGTGCCATCTTCTTCCTCCCTAGCGAGTCTGCCAGGGCCCCCGCCACCGTTCCTGCCACCATCGACGCCCCGAACCCTCCGATGAACAGCAGCGCAATGTCACCTGTCAGCGGCCATCACCATAAGTCCTCCCACACACACACACACACACACACACACACACACACACACGCACATGCACATGCACACGCATGTGCGCGCAAGCCCAGCCCAACCCCAACCCCAACCCCAACCCCAACCCCAACCCCAACCCCAACCCCAACCCCAACCCCAACCCCAACCACCACCACCACCGCCATCACGACCCCCATCCCCACCCACGTGACCTACCCTTGGAGAAGCCATACGACTCGTACAGGACATACACATACGGACCCTTGAGCCAATCCACAAACATGGCCAACAGATATACAACAAGATAGTTGCGCTGAAAGGCAGCAAAGCCAGCAGGCACCTCGACCTCAGCCATGCCATTCCCCTTGTCCTTGCCCATCCCTATCCCCGTCGCCATCCCCGTCCCAGTCCCCGTCCCCGTCCCGGTCTCCTCTGCCTCGTCCGCTATGCTGCTGCCCGTGACTCCCTCCTTCCGCCCAGACCACTGCAGCCCGCCCCACACACCGCTGGCAACCACAAACGAGCCCCAATATAGCCCACCCATGAAGTAGCCCCTCGCCCACACGCTGCGACGAGTGCTGTTCACTGGCAGGCTCACGCCTGTGACACGGCCGCCAACGAGCTGGCCTTGTCACTGCGAACAGGCCACCCAAGCACATCACCCCACCTCACCTTGCTTTCTATGCAGCGCATGACGCATCGCCAGCTACGTTTGTTTCAACGTTCAACAGCAGGCAACAACTTGGCAGGATCCACATATTCGCCGTGATTGGCTACAAATTGGCCGTCGTTGACATGTAGGGACGTAAAAAACGTCGGATGAGTGCTGGACACTCCTCCGGGACCCCAACCGGGCACCGTCTCACTCACCTAACTCCCAACCAGCACATCGGCACCGCCAGCACACCACCTCCCCCAACATCTACGGTCGCCGCGCTATGCTTCTTGATGCCCTTCCTCCGCCAAACTACCGCTCTGTCCGCCGTGTGCCGCGCCATCGGCATCTGCGGGACCGCCACCACCGTTTTGTTCCTCCGGTCGCCGTCACCTCTTTGGCCGAGCTCCTCGTCGTGATCACCTTTTTCGTCACAGCCTTGCCACGCCGCACCACAGCCGCCACGCCCACCACTATCACCGGCAGCATCACAAGCGATGCCTTTGTCGCTCAACAGAATGCTGCAACAGGCGCCATGGGCCACTCGCCCAATCACATCAACCTTTATGCTTCTGGCGAGGAAGTTGCCGCACTCAATTTTCTCCTCTCTGCACCCGTCACCTCCTCGACCGGCGCCATCCACATCACCCACGCCGACCTGGCATTCAACGAGCTCGAGGGATCGTCTGCAATCTCCATTGCACTCGCCTACTATACCCTCTCGACATCGATCAAACCTTTTGACTTTTCTGTCGCCTATTGGCAGGCCAACTACCGCCTCGACTCGACCCCGCATTCGACCCCATACATCGTCTCGTCCGTAAGCCCTGCCCCGGTCGCTCCGCTCACCATCGCCTCATCGGCCATCGTAGACTTGCTTCACTCGGCCTGGACAGACAACGCCTTTTCTGTAGGTCGTCTTCTCCTTCGGCTCGCTGCTGTCGACACCTCCCAGTGCTCTGGCAACAGCTGCCGCCTGGACATGCGCGATCCCGATCCATCGCTCTCCTTCATCTACTACGAGGTATGCCCCTCGTTTACCCTTTTCAATGGTTCTGTCGCCCCCCATCACCTGACAGGCGGTTCCTTTGCCCCGGTTGGTGGTCATCTCGCCCTCTCCTGCCCGCCTCACCTCACCCTCTACGCTGCAAACACGGCCGGCAACATCACCTGCTCCTCGGACGGATCCTACTCTCCGCCCAACCCGTACTGCGGCCCGCCGCCAAGCCCTCCGCCTCCTCCATTTCCGCCACCGTCGTTCCCACCGCCGCCTTTCACACAGCCGCCATCGCCGCCATCGCCGCCACCGCCATTCCCGCCGCCGCCGCCCTGCGCCCCGCCGGCCTCTCTCGACTCATGCGGCGTTTGCTCCGGCCCGGGCACCGGCCACGTCGCCGACTCGGATCGCGATGTTTGCGGTATTTGCTTCGGCGACAACGCCGCGCTCGATGATTGTGGCGTTTGCTTTGGCGGCGATGCTGCCAAAGACGGCTGTGGCATGTGCTACGGGAACAACGCGAGCTGTGCCGGATGTGATGGCATCCCGTACTCGGGCACGACCCCAGACATCTGCGGAGTGTGCGGCGGCGATGGCTTGGCCTGCTCTGGCTGCAACTTTATTCCAATCCCGCTGGGCGGCGTTTGGTTCGACGGATGCGGCGTGTGTGGCGGGCCGTCAGGCATCTCGGCGTGCGCGACGTCATGCCTGGCCAACGGGACTGCCGTCTACGACTGCTTTGGCGTTTGCAACGGCACCGCATACATCGACGACTGTGGCATGTGCGTCGAGGGCTCGACGCCGAACATGCCGAATGCGTTCAAGGACAGCTGTGGCGATTGCTTTGGCGGCGATCGTGCTCGCGACGTGTGCGGCGAGTGTCACGGCAACAACGCGCGTCGTGACGCCTGCGGCATCTGTGACGGCGGCGATGTGCATGTCGACAGCTGCGGTGTGTGCTTTGGAAGCAACCGCGACAGTGATCTATGCGGCGTGTGCGGAGGCAACGGCACCAGCTGCGTGGGATGTGACTCTGTCGCCAACTCGAACAAGGTATTCGACGCGTGCGGCGTGTGCGGCGGGTCCGATGACTGCGCAGCTCACGCCTCCTCAAACGGCACGCCCATGCTCTTCCTCATCCTCGCTGGTCTCGGCTCGCTTCTCCTCCTTGCAAGCCTCGTCCTAGGTCTCGTCCTTTTGCCTACTGCCGCCGCCGCTCTCGCCGCATCGGCATTCTCACCTCAAAGCAGGACGCCGCGCTCGCCGCCGCGCCGGCCGGAACCGTCGTCATCCTCATCACCGACGTCGGCAGCTCGACCCGGCTATGGGAGGATCTCCACGACGTGATGGAAGGCGTCATGCTCATCCACGACGCCATCATTCGCCCACTGCTCGATGATGCCGGTGGCTATATTGTGCGGACCGAGGGCGACTCGTTTGTTGTCGCCTTTGCTGCCGTCGACGCAAGCCGCGCGCTCCGCGCCGCCGTCGCCATCCAGGACCGACTCACCCGCGCCGACTGGCCCAAAGCGCTGCTCAAGCACCCAGCGTGTCCCACCCAAGCTGCGCCTCCGTCTCCAGACTCATTAGAATCTAATGCTCATGTCTGGCGCGGCCTCCGCGTTCGCATCGGCATCCATGCATGTGCCCCCCGTCGCGCCTTTGATGATCGTACCCACCGCATCGCCTACACCGGTGCGTGCATGGCCCACGCCGATACCATCACCTGTGCCGCCAGTGCCGGCCAGATCGTTGTCTCACATGCCGCCATCGCTCTTCTTCCGACTCGTGTTCTTCGCGGCATTGTCTTTACTCCCTTTGGCGCTGTGTCTGTCGCCGATGACTCGGCCGTCTTTGACATCTGCAACGTCTCGTCGCCGTCGTCGGTCACCTACCTTCGGACATTCACCCGCCCAATCCAGTCGACGGCACCACCCCACACGGCACCGGCATGACGCGATCGTCATCGATCGGTGATTTTTCCACGCCGGGTACAGACTATGCTGCTGTCCCCTTGCTCTCGCTGCAGTGTGTCATTTCACAAACGAGAACGCCATCGGTCTCATCCGCCTCGTCGTCATCCTCTTCAGCTTCACACTCGCCGCGCAATCGGTTCGTCCCCACGCCGGAAGAGCTGTCGTCAATGCGCGATCTCTCGCTCTCAGCCGCTCTCTCCTGCTCCAACATCCACTCGCACTCGTCGTTCTCAGACGCGGATGACGCCGACGTAACCCTTGCGCCCGCAGCGTCGCTGGCCAGCCTTGGCCCACCGGTCCCGCGCCGACATCGTCGCCGCTCGCAGCGGGCAAAGTCGGTGACAGACCACAACGAGTCCCCATCAGCAGCAGCTGGTCTGCCGGACAGCAACTCTGACCTCTCAGCCGCAGACTTGGTCAAGATGTTGCCGCCCGGCCGGGTGTCGCCGCCCAAGCCCGGCGCCAAGCCCGATCCGCCGCGCCGAAAGCGCGCTATCACCTTGGGCGACTCTTACCCCGCCCGCCCACGCCTCGCCTGCCACCTTGGCTACTCGACCGAAGCACTGACATCTATCCTCTGCTCGGTGTCGAGCTCCGACTCGCCAGATCTGAGCGGAGATGACCGCTCGCCGCCGCGCGCCGCTGTCAGGCGCTCGTCGCGCATCATGCACGCCCTCAAAGCCGCGTCGGGTTCGTCGACGCCAGGGCCACTGCCCTCGGGCCAGTCGACATCGTCACGGAACTTGAAAGCCCGTGCCCGCCGTCGACTCCGTGTCCGCCGCGTTCTCAAGCACTCGGCATCGACCATGCTTCACCCGCTCGACATCATAGTCGAGCGCGACGACAGCGATAGTGGATGCAGCCCGGCCGTGGCTACCCGCCACTCGCCGGGCCGCCGCATCCGCACCCTCAAGCGATTCCGCTCCGAAGACATCACCCCTCGTCGGATGCCGGCCCAGCAGCGTTCGCGCCGCGTGCGTCGGCTCGAGTCGACACTCAACACCTCGCACTCGGACTCACTCACACAGGTATCGCTTTCGCCGACCTCGCCCACCGTCCCAGAAAGGTAAAGGTAGCGTTCATTTGGGGGGCGTGAGGTGGACCGAGGTGTCGTCGCTCGAAGACCAGGAGAGCTCGTCGACAACCACCTGCCCGGTGAGGCACCGATACTTGGAGGCCAACCCCCGCTTGGAGTGCGCCACGCTCGCCGACTGCCGCGCGACCATGACCCGTGATCGCCCGGTCTCCAGCCGCCTAGCCCGGGCCGCAATACTCCGTGGCCCTGACGTGGCTGGGGATTCCAGCGCTGTCGTTGACTGCAGCATCCGCGGACCCGGCTCGGGCGACTTGCTGCTCGCCGCCGACCGCGATGCGCCATTGGAGTGACAGATCGGGGTCAAATCGGTCGACGCAGACGGCTGCAGCCGTCGGACCTTGCGCACCGACGACGTCGCCGAGCTTTCAAACTCAACCGACGAAAATCGCGACATGGCCCGATTCCGTTTCGACGATGCTCTTCGTGCCGGTTGCTCCGAGTTCCGCCGTGGCCCGTGAAGGTGTGCCAAGCTCTTGATGCGGCTCTTGACCAGTGACGCAGCGCTCGGTGTCGATCGCGAGCGTGTCCGCACATGAGTTCCAGTCTTGGTCACAAGTTAACCTTGCCATGGTTGCTGTGGTCGCTGCAATCGCTGCTGCCTCCTGCGCTGCTGCTTCCAGGTGCAGGCGCGCCAAAGCCACTCCGGCCCGAGGTCGGCGTCTGGCTCCTCGGCGACAGCAGCGTTGCAGATGCGCGCGACGGCGAGCACGAGAGGAGATTGCGTCGCGAGCCAGCTCTCGAGCCCGATGGCGACCGTGATTGCGGTCTTGATCCGAGGCCCCGTGGTGTCTGTCTCCGAGGAGACGCCATTGCCGACGCTGGAACCGACACCGACGCCGAGCATGAGCCAGACGGCGATGCAAACCGATGCTCGGGTGTCGGCGAGAGTGAGGTCTGCGGCCGCTTCCGAACCCGCGTGCGAGTCCTAGGTCGCCGCAGCGAGGCAGTTGATGCATCGTGCGAGAGTGAGGCCGGCGTCGACGTCAGCGTCGCCGCCGCATTCCGCTCGCCAGCAGTGAGGACAATCGTCGCAGCGTCTTTGCCGCTCTTCGCCTCGTCCTCGAGAGGCGGTAGCCGTGCAAAGACCCGCTCGGCAAGGACAGACCCTTCCGCCGTGACGGTGTGGATGTCAAAAACTGTGCTACACGACGACGCAATCCGGCCCACATGGTGGATCATGACACTCTTGGGCACGCTGGAGCCCAGAAGCGACAGCATCTCGGACGAGAGCACAACTTGCCCAGCCTCGCCGGCCGACGTCACCGCGTCCGCGTGCGACATGCTCGCGCCACCATACGCCGCGCGCAGCGACCGCTCGTCAAACGTTCGCATCGGCGTACATGCGTGGAGTCCGACTCGCACGCGGAGCCCGCGCCAAACGTATTGCAGGCCTCCGGTGACTGCCGAGTGGCTCCGGAGTACCGATCCACACAGCTGGTGGTTGAGCAACTCGCGAGGCCAGTCCAGCTGGACGAGTCGGTCCTGGATGGCAACTGCAGCCTCGAGCGCTACGCACGCGGCCGACGCCGGAAAGACAACGACAAATGAGTCGCCTTCTGTTCGCACAAAGTACGCTCCGGCGTCCATGAGAATCTGGCGGACTGCCGCGTCATGGACGTCGGTCGCTGCCTCCATTGCATCCGGCACGTCCTCCCACAGCCTGGTCGAGTTCCCCACATCCGTGATGAGCACAACCACGAGGCCGCCAGGTGCCGCTGCCAGCGCAGCGTCGCGCTTCTCGACAAGGATGCCGACCCTCCGCCGCCGCCGCCGTCGCCAAGAGATGATGGCAATGGCCAGGGCCAGAAAGACCGAGAGTAGGCACGTCGTGCCGCCGAGCACCACAAGGCTCGAGATCGAGCCGGTCCCGCCCGACTCGCGTACGGCGCAGTCGCCGAACCCGCCGCACACGCCACACGCGTCGAATACCTTGTTCGAGTTGGCGACAGAGTCACATCCCACGCAGCTGGTGCCGTTGCCGCTGCACACGCCGCATACATCCTTGCTGCGGTCAGAACCAAAGCACACACCGCAGCTGTCGACATGCACATCGCCGCCGTCACAGATGCCGCAGGCGTCACGACGCGCGTTGTTGCCGTGACACTCGCCGCACACGTCGCGAGCACGATCGCCGCCAAAGCAATCGCCACAGCTGTCCTTGAACGCATTCGGCATGTTTGGCGTCGAGCCCTCGACGCACATGCCACAGTCGTCGATGTATGCGGTGCCGTTGCAAACGCCAAAGCAGTCGTAGACGGCAGTCCCGTTGGCCAGGCACGACGTCGCGCACGCCGAGATGCCTGACGGCCCGCCACACACGCCGCATCCGTCGAACCAAACGCCGCCCAGCGGGATTGGAATAAAGTTGCAGCCAGAGCACCCGGACGCGTCGCCGCCGCACTCGCCGCACACATCGGGCACTTTGCCCGAGTTGGGTACGCCGTCACAGCCTGCGCAGCTCGCGTTGTTGCCGTAGCACACCCCGCAAGCATCCATAGCGGCGTTGCTGCCAAAGCAAACGCCACAATCATCGAGCGCGGCATTGGCACCGAAGCAAATACCGCAGACATCGCGATCCGAGTCAGCGACGTGGCCGGTGCCCGGGCCGGAGCAAACGCCGCAAGAGTCGAGAGAGGCCGGCGGGGCGCAGGGCGGCGGCGGTGGCGGGGATGGCGGTGGTGGCGGGGATGGCGGCGGCGGCGAGAAAGGCGGCGGCGGTGACGGCGGCGGTGGCGGCGGGCTCGGCGGTGGTGGCGGGCTCGGCGGTGGCGGCGGGCTCGGCGGTGGCGGCGGGCTCGGCGGTGGCGGCGGGCTCGGCGGTGGCGGTGGGCTCGGCGGTGGTGGCGGGCTCGGCGGTGGCGGCGGGCTCGGCGGTGGCGGCGGGCTCGGCGGTGGCGGTGGGCTCGGCGGTGGTGGCGGTGGCGGACTTGGTGGCGGAGCGCAATAGGGTGAGGCCGGCGAGTACGCGCCAGTCGAGGTACACACAACATCATTGGATGCCGACGCGCCGTAGAGGGTTAGTCCTGAGCCACACGACAGCGCAAGCGCGTCCCCGATGGGCGCAAACGGCCCGCCAGTGGTGGAGTCGTCTGTCACCGTCCCGCTCGGCAGCGAGAGGATGCCACAGACACGATAATACTTGACCGTCAACGTTGGGGACGGGCTCCGCAGCTCGATTCTACAGTCTCCTGATGTGCATCCGCTTGTCCGTGAGGCACGGATGACCAGCGAGTCATCGACATAGCCGCCGTTGTCGAACGCGTCCTGTAGCAGGGCGCTGACCGCAGCACCCGTCAGCGGAAAGGATGTACCACCAGTATCGCCGACATAAAAGGTATGAACCGTTGTCGAGTCTGTCATGGTGTCGAAAGAGTCATCTGCAGCCCATGGCAGCTCATCGTAGCGTGCGGCTCTCTCTGCCGGAGAGAGCGGAGCAAAGTATGTGACACCGATGGAGAAGGTATTGCTTGCGATGACCTCTTTGACGAGAAAAGATGAAGAGGCATCAATCCATACAGATCCTGTTGAAGAGGTAATAGGTGAAGAAGAGAAATCAAAGTTAATCGAGAGCACTCGCTCTGCACCCGTATCAAAGCGGACATGAGAAGGTGCTGCCGCCACAGTGCCATCAACTTTCATTGTGCCAACAAATTGGTCATCCTGCGGTACTCCCGTTGCCGTGAAAACTGTTCCGCCCTTCACCCCACCGACCATCACGCCCACCATGAGGTACCAAAGCCCTATCCATGTCAATTGTATCAATGTCTTCTTGCGCAACAACATGCTACACGACATGCCTCTTTCCTGCTTGTACTGCTTCCCTCCCCTACCTTGCTCCTTGCTCTGTTCGCTCCAGACAAGGGAAGGAAAGTGGTGCAACGCAGCAAGCCGTGGTGTGATGACTTGACCGCCCATTGTTTTTGGCCCGTTCCGTACCCGTTCCACTTGGCCGCTCGTTTTCCGGCTCCTTGACCCGTGTGCAAAAGAAGGAGGAAGGGGGAGGGGGGGAGGGAGGGGGAGGAGGGAGGGGGGGGGGGGGGGGGGGGTGATGTGCATATGTGCATGGACACGCTTGGGTAGGGTCTTGATAGAGTGTGTGATGATGTGTTGATCTGGGTGATAGGATGTGGTCGCCCGGCGGCGTGCGGAGTGCGGAAGGGTGCGGGTCGCAGGCACGGACAACCAGCAACGATTCGTGCAAACGATGGGCGCCGATGAGTGGCGACGATTAAACCCCGATGAGTGACAACGATTAAACCCAACAACAGTCACCCACAATTATCGTCAACCTTCAACGGCAACGACAAACCAACGATAAACCCAACGATAAACGAACGTTCTCCTTCATGGTTCACTCCTCCCCCCCCCCCCCCCCCTCCCCCAACACCACACACATACACATACGCATACAGAAAATCCCATGGAACACATACCAGCCACAGTCCTCGGCTCGCTGGCGGTCAACCAACGCGTGGCTCAGGTGCTGACCTCGACGCGGGAGTCTGTCACGGCTGCCTACGAGCAGAACCTTGCGGCTGCTGATGCTCTCCTGAGCGAGGGCATAGCCATGCTCCACTCGGCCCACGAGGCGACGCGTGCACGCCTCAATGCGACAAGATTCTCGCTTGATGCGCCGCTGGCTGGAGAGCTGGAGAAGGTGACGGCCGTCATCACCGCCCAGTCACGTCTCGCCGCACATCTCCGCGGCCTCCATCACCGCTCTGGTGCCCTCCGTGACGGAAACGGACTCGCTCAAGACGATAATGCGCTTGCCTCCATCCGCTTTGGCCTGCCTCGTCACCACCTTCGGTCCTCGGGCAAGCGCCATCGCCGTCGTGAGCGAAAGCCGCGCAAGGAATCGGGGCGATGGCGGGACGAGCGATCGCGGCGATGGAGCGATGACTCGGGCTACTCGTCCGACTCGGACGGCTCGGATGGCTCGAACAGGTCATTCACCAAAGGCTTGGAAGCGCGCCCGACGCAATCCACCGCAGGAGTTGAGACAGCAGAGTCCATGGCGGCATTCCTCGCCCGCTATGCCTCACTCTCAAAGACCATGGCCGCCGCTGCTGACGGCCACGGCCTGGACAAGCTGGTCAAGGCGCTGCGCCGGGCCGTGGTGAGCACTGTTGTGGACAATCCGCCCCAGGTGCCAAACTCCGACCGCGGTGATGGCTGGCGAAAGCCGCCACAGCGCTTTGGCTCGCGCATCTCCTCGCAGTCGCTTGCCGGTCTGCTCGGCCTCTCGGGCGCCGACCTGCAGCGGGCCATCTCGTTTACCCTTGACGCCGACGACGCTGGCGACAAGAATGGCGGCGACAACAGCGACAACGCCTCCGATGGCGCTGATGCTGTCGGTGACCTCGATCCGCCCCCAATGAGGTACCCAACCAAGCTCGCCCGGCTCTCCATCACCTCCGCTGATGGTACGCTATCCCCGCCACCGCCCACCCGCTCACCCATCCATGTCGACAAGGCCCGCCGCCTTGCGCGCATAAGCTCGTCCGGTGGTGGTGGCATAGTCGAGTCAGCATCCATCCAAGACCTAGCTGACACACTCCCGCTTCCGCCTGCACTCGCAGCCACGCTCCAGTCCGGCATGATGGTTGTGTCGCAAGACTTGGCACCGCTCCGCCCCTCAACCTCAGACGGCAAGTTTGACCTCTCCCACGGCGGCCCGAGCCCCGAGTATGCCGGTCCAGTGGCAGTCTCGCTCCCATCGTCACCGACTCGCTCCTCCATCCCGGTCTCGCACGCATCCGCCACCCCACGGTCGGTGCTCTCCAGTGCGCTGAGCTCCGGCGCACCAACCCGGGCTACCTCGCGCGATGCTACCCGTCCGAGTGCCGCCCGTTCGTCGCGTCTGACCCGGCCGGCGCAGAGTCCAAACCCCGACAACACGCAAGACACCCGCACGGTGCTCCTCTCGCGCATGCGTGATCCGCGCTCGTCGTCTGTTGACGCCATCCGTGCCCGCCACGCAGACTCGGACCCGCTTCAGCGCTACGCCCAGTGGGCCGATGGCATCGAGCGCGGACGAACCCAAAAGCAGATGGAGAAGACCAAGCAGCTTCTCGCCAAGCTCGCCGGCTCCGATCGTGCGCTCGTCTCCGGCCCCTCAGACCCCGAGCCTTCTGACCCGGTTCCGCGCCCGCGCTCCACCTCGGCCGCACTCACGGCTGCCCCGCGCGCGTGTGCCGGCCTCGCCAGTCTACCCGAGGACCCCGAGGTTGAGGGCCAGCTTGCCTCGCTCGAGCGCCTTGCGCTACGCTACATCCGCCTCGAGAAACGATACAAGGAGACATTGTTTGCCAACGAAGTCCTCCGCGCGCAAAAGGAGCATCCACCGTCGCTCTTTGCTGCATCGGGCCAGGCCTCGCCGTTTGCTGAGCTCGCCGCAGCTGTCGCCCAGTCGCGCGCCGCCAGCGGCCCGGCCTTTGCCTCGCACGGATCGGGCTCGGCGGCGGCAGACTCGATCACGAGTGACGGTAGTGGCGCCCGCGGCAGCGACAACACCTCGGCCGCACCCAACGAGTGCACCTCACTCGGCTCGCACACCTCGCCCCGCTCCATCCATGGCCCGCCATCCGCCTCCGAATCGCCGATCTCAGTCACCTCGGACGAGACCGACCACCAGTCAAAGTGAGCGTAGCCCGCTCAGCCTCGCGTTCGCTAGCATCATCTTTGCTTGCAAGGCTACCACAAATCAAACTCACCGTCGGGTCGCAGCGATAAGCTTCGCCGCCGTCCGCTAGACTCGGCAGCCTCGGTTGCAGCCGCCACTGCAGCAATCGCCCGCTGAACGCCTGGCGACTCGAGCGGCGAGTGCTGCGAAGTCGACAACGATCGCCGTCGACTGTTCGACGAATGCGACTGCCCACTTCTGACTCCAGAGCCCGAGCGAAGACGGTTGTACGAGCGGCGGGAACGCGACCGCGACATTGATTGTGACTCGTCCGTTTGCGAATGCGAGCTGGGCGACATAGGGATCGACGGCAGACCGGCCGATGTACGCTTCGAGGCCGACATCGCTCTCTGTCGCGACTCTGTGTGCCGGCCAGATGGGCGGCCCAGGTCAGATCCCAGCTGCGGCAAATCATGAGAGCCCAGCGATGACGACCGCCGACGGCGCCGCGTCTGCTTTGCAGCAATGGTGTCGACAACCGACGCAAAGTTGATCACGTCTGGCTCGGCCCGCGTTGATGATCTACGGTGTCCCCGCGCTGGGCCTGTCGAGCCCGAGACAAGCGAGATTTCGGCCGGAGTCAACTCGATTGTGTGTCCCGATCGGCTGTTGGCATTCGACACAAACGAGTCACGCACTGACGACCGCGTGATGCCACCAAGAAACTGTGTCGACTGCTCGTCCTCCTTGGACGAGATGCTCATCAATGCAGAGGCACTCGCATCTCTCTCGCCAAACCGCCGCTCCGAGACCACGTGGCCAAACGCGACCAGCGAGTACGCATCCGGCATTTGTGCGCCGTGCGCTCTCCGCTGACTACGCACTGACCCAGCCATCGGCGAAATCGCCATGTGGGACGGCATGGGCGAGGGAAACATCTCCAGCGTAGAGATCGAAACACCCACCGAGCCTGCATCGCACATGTGTGCAAGCGTCGAGGCCAACCCAAGTCCAGAGCCCGAGTACATGACTGAGCCATCTGGAAACGTCTCACGCTCGAGGAGGCAGGCATGGAGAGCAACGCACACTCGAAGCCCGCGCCAGATGTACATCAGCCGCCCAAATGGTGCGTTCCAGATCGGCCGCCCGATCTTCGACCGACAACGCCGATGCGTCAAAATCTCCTTGGGCCACTCGGCCTCGACCAGTCGATCGTGGATCGTCATGGCCGCAGTTGCCGCAGCCACCGCCTGGTCAGCGGGAAACACAGCCGTAATCATCCCACCTGATGTCGTCACAACGTACCCGCGGTACTCCTTGACAACAGCCCGGACAACCTTGCGGTAGATCTGACAGCTCGTGTTGAGTGCTGCCGGAATCTCGGCCCGTAGCAGCTCTGCGCCCTTGACCATGGTTGTAAAGACTATAACCACACCGTCGGGCGGTGAGATCGCCTCACCGTCGCTGCCGGTCTCTGCCTGTTCCGAGTCGATGGGCGACACAGCATGAGAGCCGCGAGTGGTGAAGAAGAACAGCGCAGCAATGAGGCCGATTGCAGAGCAGAGGAAGCAGAGCGCGAGAGAGACCGTCACCGCAATGGTGGTTCCGAGCGACGACGATGATGAGCCCGACTTGATGCATGAACTCGTTCCGCCACACACGCCACACGAGTCGACCCTCGCCGACGAGCCGACCACCCAGTCGCAGCCTGCACAGCTCGTCGAGTTGCCGCCGCACACGCCACACACATCCATCGTCTTGTTGCCACCCCAGCAGCGCCCACAGCCATCGCGGGCTCTATCGCCTCCGTGGCACACCCCGCACGAGTCCAGTGCTGCGTTGGTGCCAAAGCAGACCCCACACGTGTCCTTGGCCGCGTTCCCGCCCCAGCACATTTCGCAGTCGTCGCGGGCAAACGATTCGGTCCGACCAGTACTTCCGCCCACGCACGCGCCGCATCCATCCATGTATGCAGATCCGCCGCACTCGCCGGCACAATCGTACACACCGCTCCCGTCCGGGCTGCACCCTGTCGCGCACTCGCCAATCCCCGAGCTCCCGCCGCACACGCCGCAGCCATCGTAGTGGGCGCCGCCAAGCGGGATTGGAATTCCGTCACATCCGAGACACGAACTTGCATCACCGCCACACACTCCGCACACATCCGACCGCGTGCCTGAGCCAGCCACACCGTCACATCCGGTGCACTGCTCTCCGCCGCCAAAGCACACGCCGCACACATCTTTGTCGCGATTCTCGCCAAAGCAAACACCACACTCGTCGAGATCGTTGTTCTTCCCAAAACACACCCCGCATCCATCCACATCAGCATTCGCCACATGGCCTGTCCCAGGTCCAGAGCAAATGCCGCATGCATCGAGAAAGGCCGGCGGATCGCACTCAGCGCTCGGCAAGTTCTGCCTGCTCGCTGATTGCCCGCTCCGGATGGCGATCTCGTCTGGCGACGGACTCACGCTCACCATCTGCACCTCACTGCGCTGGCTGCACTCGTTAGCAAAGAGTGCAAGCAGCTCATCTCCGGTAACAACTGTTCGCAACATCTGGCCGCCATCGCCAACTCGCTCGACCACCAGAGGTAGGCGAGCAAAGGTGAGTGGCCTTTGTGAAGGCGGGCGAACATGACTGTCATGACGAGCTAAATTGGCTCCAACTATTGGTCCGAAGACTACGTTTGCAGTCGCTGACCGCATCAGCAACCTGTCCGGACCAGGCTGCAGCACCTTGTCACGAGGTACGCAGAAGATCGAGAGCTCAACAGAGCGTGGTGGTGGTGTGTAGCTCGTCATCCACGGCTTCGTCGTGTTCGCATACGTCAGGACAAGGCTATTCATGTCGTTGACAGCTTGCGGGTGAGTTGTAGTCATTCGGGCCAATGATGCCGCTCTGCTGGTGAACCGACCAGCCGAGGAGGAAGAACAGATGAGGAGGAAGACAAGGACGGCCACGCTTGCTCGATGTACCGCCATCCCCAAATCGTGTACCATTGCTCCTTGCGAGCGAACAACGGTGGCAGGCTTGAAACAACGCTTCAGCGCGTTGCCCGTATGCCGCACCCTGGTCAAGTATTATCCGGTGTGTGGAAGAATCGAGTTGAGCCGCACGCGAGACGAAACTCGTAACAGTCGTTCAGCAGCGCAAGTGGTCAGCGGGGGGGTAGAGTGGGGGCACGTGCATGGGGAAGAAAAATATTGTTTCATCATCGTGGGTGTAGGCTTGGGTACGGCGACGACAGCTCCGACGCCGAGACCTCGGGATCAGTTGGGGCGCGTGGTGGTGGCGTGTTGGTGATGGTGGCGCCGACGGACGAGAAAGCGCCAAAGGCGGGTCGGCTAAAACGAGAGTTGGGCCGGCCGAGGCCAAAGTCGCGGAGGGCGAGGACCGAGCCGTGGGCCGCCACCGAGTACAGCTCGGCTGGCGGTGAGAGCGACGAGTTGAGCGAGCCGTGCGAGCCCATGGATGAAGCCCGGGTGATGGGCAAGAGCGATGAGATGCAGTCGAGATACAACGGCGACGGCACCGGCGACGGGAGGAGCGAGACCACCTCCGCCGACGCCACGACCTGGCCTGGTCGGATGGCCTCGGCCGTCGCCTCGGCAACCTCGAGCACCTCGTCAATCGACGGGACGAGCAGCCGCTCGACGTCCAGACGGTCAGGTAGCACGTTGGTGTCGACTGCAACCCGAATCCGGAGGCCACGCCAGACATAGCCGACAGCGTCATGCGTCAACCGCGGGTCGCCGCGAGTCATCTCCACCGGAACCGCCGCCGCCGCAGTGTGGCCCAACAGCGCCTCGGGCCACGGTAGCGAGATGAGCTCGTTCTGCAGTGCGACGGCGGCGACGACCGCGTCCAGCGCGGCATCGCGCGGAAACGCGCCGGCAAACGTGTGTGCCCGCCATTCGACGCCGTAGCCGCGATGGACTTGTACAATGCGCGAGGCTGCTGCCATGAACAGCCGCCATGCCGCATCCATCGGCCCAGGGGCGTCGGCCCAGAGGATGTCGGCGTCGTCGACAATGACCAAAAGTACCACAACTGGTCCGCTGGCTGCTGGCGGTAGCGTCGTCAACTCGGTCTGGGCCCGTCGCGGCGAGTGAAGCGTGTGTTTGGACGACGCTATCCGCCGCAAGCCCGGGCGCCGGCGCTTAAGCATCTTCCGCGCCAGAACCACGCAGACGGTAACAGCGAGGACGAGAACGACGCAGCCCGAGATAGAGAGCGAGACCGAAAGCGCAACCGCTGTGAAATCTGAAGAGGACGACGAGTCCAGCTCTCCCTCACCTGCTGCCTGCGCCGACAAGCACGTTTCGTTCTTCCCGCCGCACACCCCGCACGCGTCGAGATACGTCGGCGGTGTGCACGGGGGCGGTGGTGGGGTCGGCGGCGCTGGGGGCAGTGGCGGCGGTGGGGGCAGTGGCGGCGGTGGTGCCGGTGGACTTGGGAATCCTGAAGGTGTGGTTGATGGCGGCGACGGTGGCGGTGACGGCGGTGGTGGCGGTGGTGGCGGCGAGAGTGGCGGTGGTGATGGCGGCGGCGACGACGGCGGCGGCGGTGGCGGCGATGGGGGCGGCGGTGACGGCGGTGGTGGCGATGGGGGCGGCGATGGGGGCGGTGGCGGCGGCGGCGATGGCGGCGGTGAATACTGAGTCTCACAAAACACCCCAGAAGGAGAATAGCTGCCATCGGCGTTGCAGCGGACGCGACCGCCAGGCTCGGCCCCGACAATGGCGCTGTTAGGTGCGGTGCATTCGAGCTCGACAGTCTTGTTGTACGACGCGGACTTGCTGCCAACAATAGTCACGCCGGTCACAGGCGTGTACTTGGGGCATCCGCGATCCAGGTCGAGGACGAGCGTCATTGGCGAGCTGAGCCCAATGGTGGCATGCTCAGGCGTCGTCATGGCGTCGGATGCCAACTGGTCATCATCATCGTCGTCAAAATGCCACGGGTGGGCGCGACCGTAGCCCACATTGCAGCCACGGAAAACAAGCATGAGGTAACGCCCGTCGATGGGTGAGCCAGGCGCGTTGCCCTCGGCCCAGGCGGCGTCCATCAGAGCGCGCCAGCTGTCACCGCCAAGGAGTGTGGGTGAGCTCGAGCCTGGTACGGTGATCACCGCAGACTCGCGCATGACGGCATAGACCGAGCTCGAGTCAGGCCAGGTGCTGCCAGACGTAAACGCCTTGTTCTTTCGCGATGGGCTGGTAATGGTGAGCGAGACGTTGATGCAGACCTCGGCTGCATCAAAGGGATATACTCTCTCGATCAGCACGCCCGAGAGCTCGGTAAAATGCGCCGAAAAAGGCGCAGTCAAGCCCTCAGACGAGGCAGGATCAACTTCCTTGGGCAAGTGAAAACTGGCCACAATGCCCTCGCCGGCACCGATCTCAGCGCCAAAGCGCTCGATAATCGGATCGCCTGGCAGCCGAAGAACGCCGTACCCCGAGCTATCGTGCTGAACAGCCTGGTGGATGCGCGCCGACTCTAAGTTGCGGGTAGAGACCAGCCTCTGCGAGTCTGGATCTGGGTCGCCATAGTTGAAGGCCGGCCGTGGACTCGATGGCGCGCCAGCGAGAACGACAGCGGCGAGACTCACAGCCAGCACGATGCACACCTGCAAGCTGTGCGAGCGAGAGGAATGAGATAGTTGCATGACCCGAGGCATGGTGGTCGCCCTGGTAATCGCCTTGGTAATCGCTTTGGGTATCGCCTTGGTGATCGTCCGGGCGTTAATGCGCCCGAGACCAATGCACAGCGGTTCAAGACCAACTATTCGCTCAGCTTCCGCAACGATTCGAGGTCCCTTGACCACGACAGACGAACGAGCACGGCTTGATCACCACAGAAGCGAAATCGATCGAGCACCAGAACACGTGTGTGTGTGGGTGTGTAGGAATATATACGAGGAGACGGAGGGGGGGGGGGGGGGGGGGCTTCCCCTCGCGACTATTGCGTCGCCTTGATCGTACAAGTCGCCCCGGGCTTCTGCGCCGCTGCACGCGTCGTGGCAGTCAAGATTGCAAATTGTTGCAACTGTTCAGCGTATAATTTGTGGCCGCGTGAATGACCGATGACTCTATCACAATAGCAGGGGAAGGCGGCAGGGGGGGGGGGGGGAATAGGTGAAGCGCGCGTGGGTGGGTGGGGATGGAGGGAGAGGGAAGGCGAGGGAGAGGTAAGAGTGCTGGCCCGTGGTGGTGGAGTGGTGGTGGAGTGGTGGTGAGAGAGATATGCCAAGGCCCGTTTGGCGTTGGAAGGGTGGCTGAGGGACTTGAGTCTGGTGGTGGAGCAGGGGCTGGCGACGTGCGGGAGATAGCTGCGGATTCCTTCCGGCGAACAACAACCTGCCCCCCACGAGAAGGAGCGCGCGTGGGTGGGTGGGGATGGAGGGAGAGGGAAGGCGAGGGAGAGGTAAGAGTGCTGGCCCGTGGTGGTGGAGTGGTGGTGGAGTGGTGGTGAGAGAGATATGCCAAGGCCTGTTTGGCGTTGGAAGGGTGGCTGAGGGACTTGAGTCTCGTGGTGGAGCAGGGGCTGGCGACGTGCGGGAGATGGCGAACAACAACCTGCCCCCCCACGAGAAGGAACAAAAAAAAGTTGCACGACACCCTCCTCACCCGCACATCAAGCTGACAACTCGCACATGCGACTTGCTCTTCACCTGATCGCCTCGGTCCGGCTTGGGCCAAGTCTCTCTCTCTCTCGCTTTGCACTGTGGCTCTTCTCACCATACAGCCAACTCTGGGCGATTCACCCTCGGCCACCACGTGCATACCGCATACACACATACACACACACACACACACACGCGCGCACACACAACAGCCACATCTCCATACAATGTCGGCCTTTGTCCGCGCTGCATTGCGGACAGCTCGGTCATTGTCTCGCTCACGGTCTCGCTCACGGTCACCCAGTCCGCGGTCATCGCACTCGGCGTCACACTCATCATCACCACCACCGTCATCATCATCATCGACATCATCATCAGTAGTGTCTTCATCTCCGGGACAAAATCGGGACGAAACGGTACCTGTATCGAGTGCCTCTGCTCATGGGCTGCCGCAAGACAACCAACGCCGACGTGTTCATCGCCGTCATCAGAGTCGTCGTCGCCATGGACAAAATCATCATCAGAGCCAAGCGCCGCAGACCAGGTGCAGCAACAATGGCGACGAGTCGGACGATGAGTGGGTCGTCATCGAGTCGGACGGGGCAGAGTCTGGCTCGGGGATGGCGAGGAACGAGCCATCGCTTCTGCCCGCCACCGATGTCGCAGCGTCAAGGTCATTCGAGCTGATCGAGACCGACGAGGCGGCCACGATGGCATATGGCTTCAGAGTTACGGTCACCTCCGACGATGAGTACACTGCGGGTGCGCGACGCGAGGCGGCAGCGGCAGCGGCCTGGGACAAGCTTGGATCGGCCGCGCTCCGTCGCTCGCGCGCCGTTGAGGATGTGGTGCTCGCATGGGGCATTCCGCCGCATGCTCGCCCGACCGCGTGGCCAGTCTTCTCCTCGGCCGAGGCACTGCAATTGGTATACACCGAGGTGTATGCCAAGCTGGCTAGCGCAGATGGCGATGCCTGGGTCGGCGCCACCGCCGGCTCGGCCGACGTCGCCCGCATCGACGGCGACCGCGCGCAAATTGAGCTCGATCTCCGCCGCACATTCCCTACCAACGAGTTCTTTGCCTCGCAGGCTGGACTGGACTCGCTGCGGACCATCCTAGTCGCCTTTGCCCGCTGGTCGCCCATCGGCTACTGCCAGTCGCTCAACTACGTCGCCGGCCTCCTCCGTGTCGTTCTCGGCTCGGACGAGCTCGCCTTCTGGTCGCTCGTCCACTTTGTCGAGGACGAGCTCCTTGGCTACTACACCGAGGGCATGTCGCTGTTCAAGGCCGACTCGGCCCTCATTGGCGAGCTCCTGGCTGAGCTCGAGCCGGAAGCCTCTGCCGTCATCGACGCTCTCGGCTTTGACCTCTCCATTGTCACTGCGCCCTGGCTCCTCTGTCTCTACGTCAACACCCTCCCGCTCGCCCATGTTCTTCACGTGTGGGACATGGTCATGTACAGCGGCGCGTCCTTCCTCATCCGCGTCGCGCTCGCGCTCCTCTCCGCCCATGCTCCACTCATCACCGCCGCCAGTGACGACTTTGAGGCCGTCTACCTCGCCCTTACCCAGCTCCCGCTCCTCCCGCCGCCGCACGCCCTTGTCGCCGCCGCCGCAACCATCGATCTCGGCCCCGAGTTTTCCACCCGCCAGCGCGAGAAGCTCGCTCCCGGAGAGCTCCCGCAGCTCTGCAAAGCCATTGCTGCGCACCGCGCTCACTTTGCTCTGTGACTCCTCTTTGGTTCTCAATTTACAGCTGCTGCGGCGACTGCATCGACCGCGCAAGCAGGACCAGCGGCTCTGTCGAGACCGCCCGGCTCCGCGGCGCGCGCCGCTTCTCCGGCGACCGCAGGTTGGCCGTCGCCGAGCACAGCGCCGCCGTCATCGCGTTCAGCTGCCGCAGCTGCGCCGAAAGGTTTTCGGCTCCTCCCGGACTTCCCGCCGTCGCCTTGCCTGCCACATGGGCCATCGCCACTGGCGACGGCGACGGCGATGGCGACGGCGACGGCGACGGCGACGGCACCGCGTTCTCGTCACCCGACTGACTCGGCGACTCGGCGCCCTCGATCTGCTCCGCCAGCACTCGCGTCCGCTCCGCCAGCAGCTGCAGCGTCTGTGAGAGAGACGAGTTTGGCGAGGTAAACTCGTGCGACTCGTTGTGGACCGGCGTGCCAGCCGAAGCCGGAGTCGCAGGTGTCGCAGGTGTCGAAGCACGCGACTCGGCCTTGGCCGCCGCCGGCGGTGTCGACGACGCCATCGCCGTCAACGACATCAGGTTCTGCAGCTGGAGCGCAAGCAGCGACTCATTGACATCGTCCTCGCCGTCGTCGCCGTCGTCGTCCGCGGCAGCAGCAGTGAGCTCAACCTCGGGCTGCGCCTCGGGCTGCGGCTCAGGCTGTTGTTCGGGCGCCACCGCCTTGTGCACCTTCTCCATCTCGCGGACAAGGCCGGGATGGTCCGGAGCGAGCGAGAGGCCACGGCCAAGAACGGCGGCGGCAGCGTCAAAATCGCCGGCCGAAACATGCAGCTTGCCGAGCGCAAGGTATGCCTTGACATACTCGGGGTTGATGTCAAGCGCCTTGCGCAGGTCCGCTGCCGCCAGCTCAGCGTCGCCCATGTGCATGTAGCACGCACCACGGTTGGCGTACAGCGCGTGGTCGAGCGGGAACCCGTTTCCGGCCGCCAGCGCCGCCACCAGGCGCAGCGCCGAGTTGTACACCGACATGGCGTCGACGTACGCGCCCTCGGCAAAGAGCGACGAGCCATCGGCCTTCAGCTCGTCCTTCTCCTCCACAAACTTGGCGAGGAGCTCGTCAAAGGCATCCGATGCCCGCGGGAGCGCAAACAGCGCTGCCGCCGCAGCCTCGTACCGCGCCGTCTCCAGTAGGATCTCGGCCTTGGACGCCGTGCACACCTGCGCAGCCTGTGCCACTTCGGGCTGGCAAGCCTCACCGGCCTCGCCCGCGAGAGCCAACGCCGCGTCGAACGCGCTGAGCGCCGCGTCGTGGGCCCCTAGGATCGAATGCACCGTCCCGAGCTTGGTCTGCAGCCGGACACGGGTGGCAATCGGCGTGTCGGCCGCCGCCTCGGCCGCCGCTGCGTACGCCGCAGCAGCTGCCTCAAACTGCGAGTCGCGGATAGCGGCATTGCCGGCCTCCTCGGCCTCGGCCGTCGGCGAGATAGTCGGCGCCACCGGAGCCGCCGACGCCGTCGACGCCAGTGAGTCGTTGTGGAAGAGCGACGAGGCGTCGGCCGAGGCATCGACCGACGCATCGATATCCGCGCCGGCGCGGACCACCACGCTCAGCTTAATGGTCCGCCACCCGAGCTCCTCGGCAAGCTGGACTGCGTCGCGGAGTTCCGAGTCTGATCCGAGCTCAATGTCGTCGTCCTCGTCGTCCTTGTACGCCAGCTCGATGCCAGCGCCGCGCGGAGCCTTGATCCGGGTCCGCACCGACTCGATGAGTTCGATGTACGACTCGCCCGACGCCGAAGCCCGGAACGTCGAGCCGCCGTGCTTAAACTTGAAAAAGTATGTCGTCGAGACCTCGGCCGAAATGGCCGAGACACCGAGCTCAAAAGGAGCCGGTGGCGAGGTCGGAAGCGCCGCTCCAGAGGTGGAAGCGCCCGGCGCCGGCGTGCCCGGGCCAGCAGGCGGTGCAAACTCGCGGGCAGGCGTCTGCGGTGCAAGTGACGCCTCCGATGTCAGCTGCAGCATGTCAAGCATGCCGTACGGCCGCTTACCACGCACAACTGGGAGGTGGCGGTACTTGCCCTCGAGCATCATTTCCAGCGCCTCCATGGGCGCGGTCGTCGGCGTGACCGTCGTCGGAGATGCGGTCATAACCTCGGCCAGGGTCGTCGTCGCCAGGTCCTTGCCCGCAACAAGGACTCGAGCGAGCAAGTCGCGCTCGGTAAAGATGCCGACCAACGACGAGGTACCCGGCGCTACGACCAGAAGCGCCGACAGCCGGCGGATATCCATGTGGGCGACTGCGCGTGCGACGGGCGCGTCCGACGGGAACAGCAGCGACTTGGCCGCCGCGCCACACGCCGCGCCTGCCGTTGCCGTGGATCCAAAGAGCGACGAGGCCCTCGCGGTCTTGTCATAGACCTTGAGCGCGTGCGAGACGCGCCACTTCATGGCCCTTGCCGACTCTGCCGTCGCGTACGATCCCAGAACAAGATCGTACGTCACCTCGAGCACGTCATGGAGACCAAGCGGAGCGCCAGCGTCATCTACGACCGGAAGATGGCGATAATGGCCACGATGCATGGCAGCGAGGACTTCATCAAGCGGCGTCTCGGGCGCCACGCTGTCGGGCTCGGGTGTCATGACCGACTCGAGGGTGGTGCTGTGGAGCTCTGCGCCACGAGCAGCGATGCGGGTAAGGATATCCCGTTCGGTAAGAATTCCCCGCAGTCGTCCGTCCTCACCCACAATGACCACAGCCGTCGCTCGGCTCTTGGCCATGTATCGTGCCGCGCTTTCCACACGTGTCGTTCCAGAGAACGCCATCGGCTGCGTCACGGGCATGACGGGTGGTAGCAGTCAGAGTGTATGAGGGAGGATGAAGATAGCCTTGGCCGTGGAAGGAGAAGGCGTGACGTCGGTGTTGCTGAGGGTATTCGGGTGGGGCAGAGTGCGGTGTGGCGCGGGGAAGGGGTGGCGGGGCGGGGCGGGGCGGGGGCGGGGTGAGGGGGGGGGGAAGAGGGCTGTTTTGGCGCCATTTTGTTCAAATTATTCAAAAGTTAATAACGCATGGCTGGTCGGCGGCGGTCGGGTCGACTCACTCACTCGCCGCCGTGCCAGCACGCCAATTGAAGCCAGCAATTCTCTGCTTGGCTGTGGAATCTTCCTCACACTCTATACCATGACCATACATATAAACCCATCTTCGACATCTCTCATCGCGCGCCAGAGATCGTCATCAAGTGGGTATGTGTGGGCTACTGCTCCTCCGGAGCCGACGGTGTCGACCCCATCGGAGCTCTAAGCTTTGCATCGCTGAGCCGGCCGCATGTACTAGCGATCCTTTGGCATCCGCCAATGGTAGGTAGCTGACTGGTCAGCAAGCACGTGGCGGTCAAATGTAGGCCACGTTGGAGGCCATGATCATGGCGCGGGCGCGGGCCATGGCATCCTCGACGCCCGGGAAGCTGTACATGAGCCCGCGTTGCTCGCGCTGACAGAGGACGCGAAGAATCCACTCGGCGTCCTTGTTGATGTACATGTCGTTGGGAAAGGTATTGATGGCGTCGACAAGGATCTTCGACTCGCCCTTGGTGCGAAAGAGCGGACGGACGTCAGCGAGTCCACAGAGCCTGCGAATGAGCTGGATGAGCTGTGCCATGACGGCTGCGTTCTTCCCGTGCTTGTTGACGACCGAGTGGATCATGTCGATGCCACCGGCTGTGAAGAAAACTTGAGGTTGAGTTCGACGTTGAGGACAACCTGGCCCATGGCGGCCAACGCGTACTCTGCGATGCGCGCGTCGTCAAGGTGGTCGTTGACAGCCTCGATCAGGCCGCGGAGCCCGTCGCCGCCACACCGCTCGCGGACAGACTCGCGGTCGCACACCAGATACAGGTACTTGAACGCGGCCTTGAGGATGGTCCGCTCGTTGGAAAATGTGTTCAGCGCACGGATGGCAATCGTATCGCTGGAGGCGTCAGCAAACATGGTCCGGAACCGCATGTCGTACGCCAGCCACGACATGAGGACGAGAACCACCTCGTTGAGCGCCGCAGATGTCGGTGCCCGTTCTGCGTGCTCGATGATGCTGGGAATGAGCGGCGACTGGGAGAGCGGGATGAGGATCTCGGAGGAGAAATCGGTCCGAACCGATCTCGCCAGTGGAATGTACACCTGCGCAAGGTTGACGATAAGGTCCTGTGGCTTGGACACCTCAAGCTCCATGACTGCTGTGAGGAGGTCGACTGTTGTTGGCGACGCCATGATCGCCAGCACCCGCACCGCGCGCAGCGACGCCATCAGGGCCAGCAGCTCTACAAAGACCTCGATCGGCCCGAGTGCGGGAAGCGCCCGTGGTCCGCCCGACGCCAGATGCATGTCGAGGAGGGCGACAACTCCAAAGACCGCCTCGTACTTGGCCTTGGTATGCTCCTGTGCTCGCCGCAGCGTCCGCATCGTCAGCTGCTGCGGTGGCATCAGCCGCTCGTCGCGCGCATAGTGGCCCACAATCCGGGTCAGCCCACTCGTCAGCCGCCGTCGCTGACTCCCGCTCGTGCTGCCCGCGCCGCCTCCGCCCATTTCGGTGGCCCCGGGGTCAATCTTGGCTGGCGCCAGGTCACGCTGCGGCGGCATAGCCATCACTGGTGGTGGTGGCTTGGCTGGTGGCACCCGTGACTTGGCCGGCGGTTCGGGCGTGGGCTCGCCAAGCGCCACCACCGAGTCGCACGATCCCGAGTCCGAGTCGGAGAACGAGCTTTCACACTCTCCCGATACCTCGTCGCCGCTGACATTCAGCTTGGCCGAGCTCTCGCCAGTGAGCGAGACATCGACGCCCAGCGCTGTCTGCAGGCTGCTCGGCGATGCGGCCGGCACCGCCGTGTCTGCCATCACCGATGCATCGAGGAAGATCTCATCCGACGACGAGTAAGAGTCCGACGACGAGGAGAACGAGAACGAGTCGTCGAGAGTGAGCATTGTCGAGAGCTGGCGGTCGATCGCCGTCGCGTGCGAGAACTCATCCGAGTCGAGCTCGTCGTCGTCGAGGTGTGACGGCTTGGCCGACCCGATGGTCTGCTTGGTCTTTTTCTTGCTAGTCTTGCGCTTGACCTTGCCCTTGCCCTCACCACCAAAGGAGCTCTTGAGGATCGAGCTGTACGGCGACGACGGTGATGACTCAATCGCCTTTCCACTCGCCGCCGCCAGCACCGACTTGCCGACACTTGGGCTCGACGACGTCGTCGACGAGCCCGTCGACGACGCCTGTCGCCGCGTTGGCTTGCCCGCCGATGGCCCGTTGCCCTCGAGCGTTCCCAGAATTGCCTCCATCTGCGCCTTGATGCCGTCGAGCGAGCTGAGCATGGTCGACGTGGTGAACGAGATCTCGCCGTTGTCGGGCAGGTTGACCTTGAGCGTCTCAAACAGTGCCCTCATCTCGGTCACCTGCTTGGCCAGCCCGCGCTTGTCCTCCTCGGTCGCCGGCCGCGCCGCTTCGGCCTGCTTCTTCGCACCATTTTGGCTCTCCGGAGCCTTCTTCAACTTGGCGTCGACCTCGTCGGCGTTATAGAAGAGCGTGACCGACCGCCGCCACGACTTGCTACTGTCGTCAGCACCCACCCCGCCCCATCTCGAGCCGGCCACCACCGGCCCGTACCCGTTCGACGCTGCCGTCTCCAGAATGGCTCCGCGCATCGTCTGCGACAGTGCCTTGAACTCGTAGGTGTAGATGAGCTTGACACGGACAGCGTGTCCGTCGTTCGGGCTCGGCTCGATGCACAGCACGTCCTTTGCCGGCACGAACCATTGATCCTTGCCGCCAGGCGCCGCATTGGACACCCCCTCTGCACTCAGCACCAGTTCTCTGCACAATGACGAACGCAATGAACACGATCGAGCACGAGCGCGACGAACACGATCGAGCACGAATGCGATGAACACGATCGAGCACGAGCGCGACGAACACGATCGAGCACGAATGCGATGAACACGATCGAGCACGAGCGCGACGAACACGATCGAGCACGACCACAACCACGACCACGACCAACACACACAACCACAGCCACATAAGTCGCTCTCCCCCCCTCCCCCCCTTCCTCTCACTCTGGCGCCCAAAAAAGGACGCCATGTCCGTGACCTCAACAACAGCAAAAAAAAACGACATGTGCTAGACCGGTCCGAGGGCGGGCGCGGGGGGGCAGCGGGACTTTCCCAGAAACTCACTCAATCAGGGGATCGGCAAAAATTCGGTGGACTCGTTCAGTTGGCGTTCAGTTGTGTGAGTGAACGCATACACATTGAGCGTGCGTTCAGTTTCTGTTCAGGCTGAGCCCCAACTGAACGAATTTTGAAGGCACACAAGCTCAGCTACGCAGCAGTGACGTGAGTTGGAGCACCACACTCGACTTACCCTTACGCAAGGTAGGGCACAGTTTCGGCGATATGGCAGCGACATGATGGGGGAGAGACACTTCAGTACGGTATTGCTGGCGTAGGGGGGGGGGGGTTAGGGGAGTTATACACTCACGTTGGTGTCCTTGTCACCACGCAGACAGCCGGTAGATTCTACCACCACTGCCGCAATGGATCAGGACCTCGTGATGCCACAGAGCGACGAAATGCAGCATGCTTCAGCTTCAGAAGCGTCTCATGATACCGCCGAAGAGGTGAATCCCCCTACTGCTGGTTCCGAGGGCAAACAGCAGGCCTTGCCTGACAACACCAGCAACGTCGAGACGGCAGTCTTGTCCCCACCCGCTGCGCCATGCAGCCAAGAAGTGGACACTACTGAAGCACGAAGCTCACCTCGCAAGGCAAAGACCACATCGTCACGCTATCGCAAAAAGCGCGTTTGTGTCCGCTGGGGAGAGCCCGGAAGAATGCAGGATCTAGCCCAGGCGTACTACGACGTGGTGACGAAGTACGACTCCTCCAGCTCCACTGCCGGCAGAATGCACAGGTCCATTGCCAAGATCTTGAACGAGAAGTGGGGCAATACTGATGACGGTGGGCAAGTGTCTACCCAGACTGTGTCCAAGCAACTCAACCGCCTCCTGTCAAGGGTGCGCGAGCAGGAGGTGTTCTTGACCCAGTCCGGGAAGCGGGCCGACGAAGGGCCGCTGCCGCCCAGGAACCCACATCTGCATCAGGTGTACATGACTATCACCCAGGCTTGGCAATCATCCGGCCGGCGCAAGCCTCTCATCAAGCCCATTGACACTTCAGACGACACAAGTGTCCAGTTCGATGTGCTCGAGTCCATGTCCCAGGAGCAGTCGACAAGGCGGAATCGGACCTCCGTGCACGTCCCTGAACGAGCCGTCGGCAACACTTCGTCGAGGACGACGTCATCTTGCGATTCAGATCCGGGCACGCCATCTGCTGAAACGCCTCGCAAGCGGCGTCGTTCTGGCGACAGCAGCGGATGTCCGTCCTCGGCGAAGAAGCGCAAGGTCCACTCCGTGGCCGATTCTCAGAAGCTCGTCGATCTGACCGAGAAACACATCATGCTGTTTGAGGCCAGTGCCACTGCCGACCAGAAGCACAAGGATGCCATTCTCAGCGTGGCAACTAGTACTCTTGATGTACTGAAGCACCTGACCGTGACTTTTGACAAGATTGCAGCTTCACTGTAGTCTACGGCGACGTGGGACAAGATCACGTTCAACAGCATCGGCGACCTGTCAGAGAGTCAGGTCGACGATGTTGATAGTGACGAGTTCGTTCAAGCGTTCCTGGTTCGATTGCTTCAACAAAGGCAGCAAATACATCATCTGAGCTTACATCGATGGTGGCGCTGAAGTCCGTTGCGTCATCGGCATGAACCCCGGCCATCAAGTAGTTGTGGAGGCGGAATGCAGCGCTGATCATCGAGTTGTTGAGCTGATCTAGTTCTGTGGTCATACGAAGTAGGTACTGAAAGCGGCTCTTGAGCACTCCAAAGGCACGCTCGATGCAGTTCCTTGCTCTGCACTGTGGATCCCTTCTCTCAGACACTCCCGAACGCGGGGTGACAATGTAGGGGAACACCGTACCACGGAATATGGCATCCCCGAGAATGGTGAACCCGGCACCGGTTGGATTGATACCGAAACGACGCGGATTAGCGTAGAGGTTGCTCAATTTCAACATGTTGACATCGTTCGTCGAAGCTGGAAACCCCACGACGCAGTTGATGAACTGCACCGTGTCGATTGCAACCGTGCATAGAGCACTAATGCGAGGGCCGGACCTTCGCCCGTGAAGCGCAATCTGATCGTCGCCATGTGGATTCTGAGCCAGGCAGAAGTCAGTTCCATCCACACAAGCAAACGCGCGTCGCAGCTTTGCCTCTTCACTAGCCTCAAAAGGCTGACCGCCGCGCGAGATCGAGTCCGCGATGTCCATATCCCACTTTCCTTGGCGAGAACGCACAATGGCTGTGATCTCTGCAACATCCGGCCACTGTAATGGCATCATTTTCATCACGCGCCGCGACACTCGCTCGAGGATGTTCTTCAGGGACGAGGCGCTTACGTTGAGGAGAAGGGCAGCAGACCGGAGTCGCATTGCACCGTGACCAAGAACAAAGAGGAACACGGCCAACGCCTTCTTGGGGTGGATAGGGGGCCTCCCAACTCGACCAGCGCGTAGGACAACCTGCATTCGCCCGCGGGTATGGTTGGAAGTGAGATCAATCATCCAATCGTCACCGAATAGGAGCTGCCCGAGTTGATCGAACGACGACTGCGGCATGCGCAATAGAAAGCGAAACGCCTGATCACTTCCCCCAAGCAGCAGCATCAACAGCGGATCACCAAGGAACGGTCTTGGCGTCAATCTACGAGCAGTAGCAGCAGCTTCCGCCGCCATAGCCATCTCGTCCCTGGCCGTGGCGATGGTAGAGACACACGCACTGGCGCGGCGGACGGGCCCGCCTTCACCGACCTCCCACATGAATATCTGTGTGACCAAGTTGACAACCAGGTATGCACAAAGCATCCCAAACATCGCCGCAGCTTTGAGAAGTGACACGCGCTGAGATCGGAGAGCATGACGTGAGGGCACAGCTTCATCTGGCTCGACGCCGTCGTCGATGTCTACATCGGTGTCGTCGACCCACCGGGGCTCTCCGCTGCTCTGGCGCTCATTAGTGCATTTCCTTGACTCCATCCACACACAAGAACGTTTCCTACAATGCTTCTGCCACAGTGAACTTGGGAGCAGTGTGTAGGGTCAATGCCGAGAGTGTGACGACCGCAGGCGGACTGCGTCCCGCCGTCCCTTGGCCAACCGGTAGAATTGACCACATCGCACTGACTGAACATTTTTCTCGAACATGTTGAGTAGGTGAACGTGCCGAAGTTGAAACGACAGCTGAGCGTGTTGAGTTACATCGAGTTTTTGCCGAACCCCTCACTCATGGACCTGTGCGCCATCCGTACCTGCTCTGCTCCTTGCCCTTTGCGTTTGTTTTGGTCACTGGGTACCTCTGTATCTTTCCTTTCTTGCCTTTTCCCTTGCCCTTGCGTGGTGGGTGTTCCTTTCGCGTCTTTGGCTTCCACGTACTGGCCTCCTTTGCCGACATGTCGAGAGGTTGGTACCGTGGTGGCGCTCTTGTTCGAGTTGAGTGCTACAGCGGCGGCTGGGCCGACCCGGTAGTCCCGCACGCGTTTTTTGCTTCGTCATGGTTGCAAATTTGTTTTTTTCGGCAACACCATACTATCGCAGCTCTGCACAGATGCTCCACCACCGCGGTAAGCGTACCCAATACGCCATCCAGCCGTCCAGCCAGTCGTCGTCCCCTCACACACTCACACACACACATACGCCTGACCGCGTGAGCTGCTGCTCCACCGCGTGCCATAAGTCGCGTGTCACATGTTGTGGCAGGGAAGCTCCCCTCCAATTCGGCGAACCGCACACATGCTGTTCAGCAGCAGAAACAGCACTTGATGAAGACCCAGCAGATGATGGCGAGGGCCAAGCCGAGGGCGACCACAAAGTAGACACCCGAGATAGCGGCAAGAGTGAGTGCCGGCGAGTCGAGCTCCTTGGCGCCAATCGACGAGATAAAGGCCTTTCCAAAGTACTTGACGTTGAGCTCGCGGAGGAGGCCTTCGCGCGTTAGATCAAGCACAATGCTATTGATCCGGTCAAGGTATGGCGAGCTGTTGGCCAGCAGCATGGCGTAGTCGGCCGAGGAGAGGAGCGAGCCGAGCAGCCGGATCGAGGCCGTCGAGCTGTCTGCCAGATACTCCAGCGTCGTCGCGTCGGCCATGCACGCCGAAACAGCGCCGCGCTCGAGCGCCCCGAACGCGTCGGTCACGTTGGCATATCCGTACATGGCCACAGACGGCAGGTGGTCGCGCACAAACCGCTCGCCGTCAGAGCCAAGCACCACCGCCATCGACGAGCCGCCCAGATCGCGGAGGCCCGCCACGTCCGACCGCAGATTCGCCGAGTTGAGAATGGTCGTCAGCTGCGCTGTGTACGCCGCCACCAGCGTCACCGTAAACGTCGTCCATCCGATCGAGTACAGCCGCGCCGGAAAGCCCACCAGATCGTTCTCGCCAGTCTCGGAGAGCACGCCCCAGCAGTACCACACGCCCTCGTTGACACCACGGAGGTACGAGAGTGGGAAGAGCTCGGGCTGGTACGGATGCTCCAGCGCCCAGATGATGTGGCCCGAGAGGTAGAGCGCCACCACTCCAGTGATCCACACCGTTACTGTAAACGGCGAAAAGAACAGCAGCGGATCTGTTGTCGGCTCCGGCACCGAAATCGCCGCGTCGAGCCCTGTGTGAAAGTACGAGTACGTAAACTCGCCCGCTGTGTTTCCGTCAAGAGTGATTGCCATCCCGCCGAGCGCCACTGCCAGCGGATCAGCCCTGACCGCCTCGTGCGCCTCGTCAACCGATACCACGCGCATCTGTACATCAACCCCACGCACTTGCTGCATCCGCTGCACAACCAAGTGCCACAGCTCTAGATCATACCCGCTCACCTTGCCGTCCTTCTACACACCCCCGCCTCACCATCCGACGCCCCGCACCTCACCTGTGAGCCTCACATTGCGCTCGTCGCCCACAAACATCGCCCGCCCGCCCGCCGACATGGCGTACACTGTCAACCATCACAAATGGCGGTTGTGGCACAAGATACACGTTGATTCTGTCAAAGGCATGTCCGTCGTTGCCAGCTGCCCGCGCGCCAGTGCTCGCGTACGCCAGCCAAAGGCCAAGCACCGCGAGCAGGAGCCCAGCGCACCGCGGCCGGCGTCGTCCACGTCGCCACAAACGCTGTACACCTGCCGGGCGCCCTTTGCTCCGCTTCTCGCCCATGACAAGTGATAGCCGCGCCATACCGCTAGACCCTCCCACACACACACACACACCTTGTCGGCGTCCACCAGCGCAGCGCTGCCAGTCAATCGGTATGCGCCAGAAAATTCCGAAAGGCTCATTTTTCGCACAACAGGCCGCCAGCCCACGGCCAACCTCCTGCCACCAAACAGCCATAGCCACACGATGATCACGCGTCCCACGCCCATTGCGCTTTATCTGCCTCCCACTTGCGTCAGCTATCGAGAAAACGGGTGGTTGGACGTGCTCACTTGGCCTCAACGCTTGAAGAGACCGGGATTGAAGCGGATGACAACGTACGAGACGATGGCGGCGACAACGGCGAGGCCCATGGGAACATACAGGCCCGAGACGCTAATGAACGACATCTCCTCCACACCTGACGGGAGGAGCGACTTGAACCGCTGGCCGAACCACACTTTGCGCAAATCTTCCAAAAAGCCGTCCTCAAAGGTCGAGATGATGGCGCCGTTGATGGTATCCACCAAGCTCGAGTTCGACTTGAGCACCATGGCAAAGCGATCGGAAGAGAGCCGCTCGCCGAGAATGTCGTATCGGTCGTCAAAGTCGCGGGTGTTCTTCAGATACCACAGCGTCGGCGAGTCGAAGAACAGCGCGCCGACAACGTCCGAAGTGAGGGCGGTGAAGCCGGCCACCACCGATGGGAAGACCACAGTAGTTGCCGCCGGCAGGTTCTGCCCTACCCAGCCCACGCCGTCGGTCCCGTTGACCACGCCGATGATCTCGCCGTTGAGCTGCGACGCGTCGTTAATGTCGGACCGCAGCTGCTCGACAATGAGGATCGATGCCAAGTTCGCCGTGTACGCCGCCACAAACACAATGGTGAGGTACGACCAAGCCACAGAGTACATGCGCGTGGGAAAGCCGCGAAGATCGCGGGTCTGTGCTTTGACCAAGACCGAGAAGCAGTACCACACGCCCTCGTTGACGCCGGACAGCAGCGATCGCGGGAAGAGCCGCGGCTGATACTCACGCTCAAAGAACCAGATGACAAAGCCTGAGAAGAAGAGAAGCACAGAGGCAGATGCCCAGAGCCAGAACGTGAACGGGGCCGTGAAGAGAAAGATGTTGACCTGAGTATTCCTCCGCAGCACAATGGCATCGAGACCCGAGTGAAAGTAGACGTGCGAGAACTTGACCCTGGAGAGCAAGGCCGGATCAATGGCCACCGACGCCACGCCAACCGCCTCGGCCACCGCCGCAGACTCGACCGCCTCTACCACATCGCTCTTGTCGATCAGCTGGTACTCAAACGACTCGGCGTCGCCGCTCAGCTGCAGCCTCGTGAAAACCCGATTCCAGAGATCGATGTCAAAGCCCTCGTAACGGACGCTCCCACTGCTGTCCACAACCTGGTACACAAACGGCGGCTGCTCAGCAATGTACACCACAAGATGTGTCCCGTTGTTGCTGCTGCCGTTGCTGTTGGAGCTCGCGCCCTCCGCCGGCGTCACTTGGCTGCACAAAGCGAGCATCGCCACTGCCACCGCCGCCACAACCTCAAGTCGCATGCGGAGCGCCATACTGACTGCAGCACGGGAGGGGAGCGAGGAGAGGAGGACGACAAGTGCACGTGGATGCCCACGGAGAAGGGAAGGGCAGGAGGAAGATGGTGAGGTGAAGTACCGGGTGGCTTGGGGGGGAGGGAGGGGGGGCGGCGAGAGAGGCGCGCAATGAAAAATGAGCGTTTCGACAATTAGGCCACAGCCAGCCGTCATCTCGCGCGAGAGCAATGGAGGACGGGGGCGGGGGTAGGGGTGGGGTAGAGGGGCAAGGCGGCCGCGACACTTAGATAGCCTCCATACCGCAAGTATCGACGTTGACCGGCGCCCAACCGATGCGGTGGTTGGCGCGGTCAAAGACAATGGTATAGCGGACAAGGAGGGTGTCGCCGACAATGACAAGGCCGTTGGGCCCGGTCGGCGAGACGGCGAGGCAGGTCTGGCCGGGCTTGCCGATGGAGCCAAAGTTGGCGAGCAAGTACTGCGGCGGCGAGATGACGAGCGAGATGCCCGGGACCTCGAGGACAAAGTCTGGGTAGGCGGCGACGTCGGCAGGCGAGAGATCGAAGCACTTGCCATCAAACAGGGTCTGGCCCTCCGGCACGTTGCACATACCGGTCAGGTTCGTGGTCGCACACATGTCGAGCAGGCTTTGCTTAAACGAGGCAAAGGCCTTGTCGTTGAGCAGCAGGTCGTTGGTGCCGGTGTCGATGATGACCGTAGGGAGGACGCCGGTGAGCGGCTTGCCGCCGACCGTCATGGCGTCGACGGCCATGACGTAGAACGGGGCGTACGGACCGGACGCCGCGTTGGGCGTCCACTGCAGCTCGCCGTGGAAGAGGTCGTCGTCGACGCCGCCAAACACAATCGTTCCGTTGGAGCGGCCGCCGTTTGGGCGGAGGCAGAGCGACCAGACGTCGGCCGGAAGGGCGCCGGCGTTGACAAGCTGCGAGAAGACCGAGGTCTCTGCCGGCGGGCCGGCCATGCCCATCACGCCGTCGACGGTCTCAAACTGGTAGAAGCCCTCGGTCTGGTAGTCAATGGCCCCAACAAGCACCGTGGTTGCTGCCGAGCCGGCCAGCGCCACCTTGTCCGAGTACCACGGGCCCTTGATGGTGCACGGGGCGGTGGGATCGGTCGGCTTGCACGTCTCGTACGTGTTGGAAAAGCTGCACACATCGCCTGCGCTGGTGTGAGCACACGACGATGACATAATGCCATCACAGGTGTGCGAGGGGCAGGCAAGCGGAGCCGATGACGACGACGCCGAAGGATCATACGCCTTGTTCGGCGGCTTGGTGATGCAGCCATGGCAGCCAGCGAGCGGCACGTTGAGGGTAAACGAGCCGGAATCGATGGCGACGGGGAAAAAGACGGGCGGCGAGCCAATTTCCACATTTGTCCAGAAAATGGAAACAGGCCAGATGGAGCCACCCACGCCCTGCTCCAGCGCCTTGCCGTGGCTGGCGAGCAGTGCCCGATGGCCTGGGAGCAGGTCCTTCGCCTCGGTGCTCCTCTTGCTCTTGTGGACATGGTGCTTGACGACTCCGCCAGCAGACGCAATGCTCGCAAACGCCATGCACATCACCAAGCCCAGCACAATGGCCCCGAGTGTTTGCTTTGGAATGCCCATGGTCGTACCAGAGTCACGTGTGGCGTCCGGCTGGTGTGGCGACCGGCCGCAATCAAGGCCGGCGACCGGTTGGTGGCCGGCGACCGGTTGGTGGCCGGCGACCGGCCGGCGACACACGCGAGCAAACTAGGGGGGGGGTCAGTGGAGGCGACACTGTCTCTGCTGTTTACTTGCGACGGACCTTAGTAAAGCCGTCAGCATCGGTCTCGGGCTCGTTGGAGCGACGGGACGATGAGGCGCCGCCCTGGCGGGTCCGGCCCCAGTCGCGGTCGTCACGGCCGCTATCGCGCGACGAGTAACCGCCACGCCCGCTGCCGTACCGGTCGCCACCACGGCCACCGCCGTAGCCACGGTCGCCGCCGCGGTCGCCGCCGCGGTCGCCGCCGCGGTCGCCGCCGTACCGGTCACCGCCACGCCCGCCGCCAAAGCCGCGGTCGCCGCCGCGGTCGCCATCGCGCCCGCCGTTGTACCGGTCGCCGCCACGGCCACCAAAACCGCGGTCGCCGCCACGGTCACCGCCGCGGTCACCACCGTACCGGTCGCCGCCACGGCCACCGCCAAAGCCACGGTCGCCGCCGTACCGGTCGCCGCCACGGCCGCCATCGCGCCCGCCATCGCGCCCGCCGTCGCGCCCACCGTCGCCACGACCCCAGGCACGGCCGCCGCCGCGTCCGCCGTCGCGGTCGCCATCGCCACGGCCCCAGGCCGAGCGCGAGGGTGGCTCGCGGTCGCCACGGTCGCCGCGGGTCGCCGAACCGGTCGCCGCTGCGGGCCGGGGCCGCAGCCGCAGCCGGGGCCGGGGCGTCCCTCGTCCGCACCGCTCGAGCGGGCGGGCTCGTGACGCGAGCGGCCGCGCCAGGCGCCCGGACTCCTGCTCGTGGTTGAGGGTCTCCATTGCCTCGAGGATGCTCGCGGTCTGCATGACGCTGACACGCTCCTCCTCGGCCTCATCAGCCTTCTTCTCCGCCATCTCGGCATCGTAGCGGTCGTGGCGCTCGGCGTTGCTCAGCGCTCAGCGCGGCGCTTGGCGCGGGCCTTGGCCTCGCGCTCGCGCTTGCGGGTCTCGCCAGCAATAAAGGCCTCGACGCGGTCGTACTCGTCGGCGTGGGCCTCACGACGCTTCGCGAGGACCCGGGTGTAAAAGGCGTCGGTGAGCTTGACAACCATGGGGTCAGTGCGGAGAGCCTTGAGCTCGAGCATCGAGTCGTGCTCGGCCCGGTGCTTGGCCTTGTACTCGTCCTTGGCGGCGTTGTACAGCGAGGCGTTGGTCACCGACTGCTTCTCAAAGGCGTCCTGGATGAGCGGCCCCTCGACCTCGCGGCGGTACCGCTCGAGGTGGTCCATGCGGCGGAAGAGCGACTCGGTCCGCTCGGCCATGGTATTCTTCTCCTTGGAAATCTGCGTCACGTACTTGTCGAGCAGCGTCTTCCGATCGATGACCTCGCCGTCGTCGTCGATCTCGACGCCCTTGGCCTCCATCTCCGCCTTGAGCTCCTCCAGCCGCTTGCGCTCGCGCTCGGCCTTGACCTTCTCCTCCTTCTTGCGCTCGCGCTCGAGCTTGTCGGCCTCGAGCCGCTCCGCGGTCTCGCGCGCAATGCGCTCCTTCTCCTCGGCGGCGGCACGCTCGCGCGCCTCGCGCGCGGCCTTGCGCTCGGCCTCCTCCTTCTCCTGTCGCGCCTGGATCTCGGCCTTGCGCTTGAGCAGCATGCGGTGCTCGTTGCGGACCGACGCCGCCGCCACGGTGGCAACCCGCTGTGCGAGCTCGGCACGCTCCTGCTCCCGAGGCGCAATCATCTTGGACGCCTTGGAGAGCGACGACGCGAGGTCAACAAGATGCGACGCGAGTGTCGTGTCGTGCATAAAGCCCGACTTGAAGGTCAGAGTCTGCTCCACGTGGTTGATGGTGAGCGAGACCCGCCCGAGCCGCACAGACTCGCACGCGAGATCCTCCAGCCGCGCTGCGTCAAGCGTGATGGCGAGCTTGGTCAGCGTCGAGAGCTGCACCACAGAGTACACCTGCGCGAGCTCCTCAAGCAGGAGCATAAATGCCACCTCCTCGAGGCCGACCGCGTAGTTGGCAAGGTGCGGCTGGGCGCGGACGTAAGCCAGAATCGGCTCGAGCCGCTCAAACTTGGAGAGCGGCTCAAAGTCGGCCACAAGCGCCGGGTAGAGCTCAGCAAGCTCCGGCGCCGCGAGCTCGACAATGCCGCGCTCGATGATCTCCGCCACGAGCTGGTCGCGCGTCGGAAGCGACGAGGTGTGCAGCAGCTGGCCGAGACGCACAGACTTGTCCGACGAGCCCTCAAGCGTCGTCACAATCGCCTGCGTCCGCGAGTTCTCCGAGAGCGGGATAGAGAGCGCGCCCACAAGCAGCGACGACGCCATCCGAGCCACCGTCTCCTGCGTCATCGACCGGTTGTGCTTCTGGTAGAGCGTAAAGACCTTGAGCGCCGCGTACGTGTGCATGACCTTGTAGTCAGCGTGCCAGCAGAGGAGTGCAACCCGCTCGTAGTACGCCGCCATCATCTGCGGCGCAATCGGCCGCGGCGACATCTCCATCAGCCGGTACAGCTCCTCCACAGTCTCAAACGCCTTCTGCCACGAGCCGAGCTCCATCGCCGTCGAGAGCTGCACAAACCGCGTCTCCATGTGCAGACGCAGCGACTCGCCGTCCTCGGCGTTGAGCTTCACCGCGTTTGGCGAGTTCTTGTTGTCCTCCTGGTACTGCACAATCGACTTGAGGTGCGAGTGCAGCGTGTCGCAGAACCGCCGAAAGTCCGACTTGAGCTCGTACCGCTTGCAAAAGTCAAACGCCATCCGCGCCAGGTTGTGGTACATCACTTCCATCGTGATCTTGTTCCGCAGGATGTCGAGAATCGCCCGGTACGCGTCGTACTCAAACCGCAGCCACGGCTTGACAATAACGCGCTCCAGCCGCTTGCTCAGCGAGTCGCCCGACGAAATCACAAGCTGCTTCTCGAGCGGGTCCTCCGGGAGGAACTCGCCCGAGTCCGACGTCAGCGCCTCGGCGAGCTTCGCCTGCGCCTCCACCACCTTCTCCTCCGTGTACGACAGCAGGTACTTCATCACACGGTCGAGCGACGCAAGCTTGACGTACTGCGTCAGCGTCTTGTACTGGTGCAGGCCATCCTTCATCTCGGCAGCGCGCCGCTGCTCCACGCACAGCTTGATGAACAGCATCATCGTCTCCTCATGCGCAGGCGTGAACTCGTCGCGCCGCGACTTGTTGAGGAACTCGTGAAGCGAGTTGAGCGCCTCTGCATTCTCGCCCACAGCGAGGAGCTCAGACGCCCGCTTGGCCGCCGTTTCAGGCTTGGTGATACGGACTGCGCGCGATCAAAGGTCATCAATCAGCAACCACGAGATAGGTCCGGGTGTGGGTGCGGTACGAGTACGAGTGTGAGTAGAGGCACAACATTGGACGAAATGATTGCGCCCACGAGTCGGTAATGGCGTGATCACAGACATTGCAGAATGACAAGCCAAGGGTCAAAGCCACACAAGTGCAGCAGGGTCAAGCAGACCACGACCATGACGACCACGACCACAACGACGACGACACGACGACGACATGACAGCAGCCAAGCCAGCCAACCAGCCAACAACCAACAACCAGCCAAGCCAGCCAACCAGCCAACAACCAACCACCAGCCAAGCCAGCCAAGCCAGCCAAGCCAGCCAACCAGCCAACAACCAACCACCAGCCAAGCCAGCCAAGCCAGCCAACCAGCCAACCAGCCAACCAACCAACCAGACCAAGTCACACACACACACACACACACACATAAACACACACACACGTGCATACAATTACATGATGGAGACCAGAGTGAGTCACAGTCCACTGTTTGTGTATGTGTTCCATCCATAGTTGATGATGTGGAGGAGGGGG